AGTGGTAGTAGTAGTAGTAGTGGTAGTAGCAGTAGTAGCAGCAGAAGTATAGTAGTAGTAGTAGTAGCAGCAGTAGTATAGTAGTAGTAGTAGTAGCAGCAGTAGTATAGTAGTAGTACTAGCAGCAGCAGTAGTATAGTAGTAGCAGCGGCAGTATTCGTAGTAGTAGTAGTAGTAGTAGTAGTAGTATAAGATGAAGTACAGCTTTAACTACCGTATATGTTCTCCTACTTGTTGTCATTTATTCAAGCAGAGTAATTGATAGCTTCCTGCATTTCCAGCAAAAGAAGGACACATTTCCTGTCAACCTCTACAAAATATTCTTAAAAGAAGATTATAGAAGAAATTGTACTGCTGAGCTACTGACACAAAGTATTCAGTGTCCTGAGCAGGATAACTCCTTGAATTAGCGTAATCTAGCTTTCTACCAGACAACTGAAAAGAGACCAGGAAATATCAAATACAAGATCCTTCCTCAATGACTAACATTTCTTCCTGTTTCTCCCAAAAATGCTGAAGAGACATTTTGCAAGGACCATTGATTGTAAGCCAAGACCATCAGAGAAAGATTGGTGGTGGAGCAGTCTGAATTCCGAAAGTAAAAACATTCCATCCATCACTGCAAGTGGAAAACTGGTTGATGCCAATGACCATACTCTTCCAACCCCGCCCTTTCCTCTTTAGTGTCATGTCATTGTCAGTGACTAGCAGAGGAAAAAATGAAATGAAATAATAAAGGAGTCTACAAAAATAAATCAAATTTACCACTTATGGGCAATAGCAGTTGATGGCTCCTTTTCATCATTAAACTTCCAATGATTCTGTTTCAAGGTTAAGTTTTGCAATGTCCTAATTAATAACAGCGACTACTAGATTTACTCATACGTCCAGATGTGGTTCAAATTTTTCTTGACATTGTCTCTACTCTAGCAGTAATTAGGCTCCCTGATGCCATCACTGCTGCATATACCGTTGGGGCTGATGAAGATGTAATCGAATTAATCTCTTCAAAATTGGAAACTGATCAAATTGAGAAAAATCTTTGCGCTCATGATTCACTTCCGATAGGCCGCTGATTAAGAAACATTGATGCAATTCATGAGCAACAATTGAATTATGGAACAGAGTGTCACAGCGATATGGCATTGGACTGTACATGTACATGTAGATAATAATGCCGAAGGCCAATTCCTTTTGTCATCCTTTCAGGACACATGTATGTAGAGTTTGCCATATACATGAAGGCCAAGTGAAAAGAGAGTAGAGACTTACATCTCACTCTGGAGTCTGGACCAGCCCCCAACTTTAAAAATGTTATCAGGGTAAGATCATTTCCAGACCTCCTAAAGGACTGACACCTTGTAAACCTCAAGTTCAACCTTATCCATTAAAGGGGAAGTTCACCCTAATATAAACTTGATTTCAATAGAAGCAGAAAAGTCAGTGAAAGTTTGAGCAAAAAAACGATTAAAAATAAGAAAGGTACAAATCTTTAAAATTGCAATCAACCAAACCCTAATTGCCCTCTTCTCCTCTAAGAAACTTTAAAAATTCATATTTACTCCTCAGAAAATGCACCCTAAATATATTAATTGCAAATATGTTTCTATAAAACCCCTGTATGAAGAAAAAAAATTATTCCGTAATCAAGAAAATGCAGTTTAGACAATTTTATGTACAGAGCAAATTGGAGAGGAGCTCTCAAGATATGTCACCAAGTTATCAATGTGTGCTTGATTGATCGCACCATCACAAGTGCTCATTCTTTCACAACTTTGTTTTTCTCTCATTTTTCTGCTTATGAAAACAAACTTAATTAGAGGGTGGACTTCCCACCAAGTTTGCAAGCACATCATTTGATTTCACACAATTTTTTGTTTCCATTTGTGTTATGGTTCCCTTTTACTTGTCTATCTTGATAAAAAAAACAGTGTCTAATCACAGGACAATGTCACATTTTTAATTTGTTTAGAACATTTATATAGCTTATAGGACTATACATGCATATGTAGGACTACACTTTGTATGCATATATTGATATTAACCCCATGAAGCATACACGCAGTCCAACTATTGAGGGTGTTAATAATGGTATACAATATTATCATGCATGAGTTGATGCTACTTCTTATCATATCTATTATGATAATATGGCTCGGTCCATGGTAACACGCCTATGACACAGGTGAAGGTCATTTCACTATCGCATCTATCCAAATTAATTCAAGAGGCGTGTAAAAAATGATTATATTTTGATTATCATAAACCCAAACACATCGCTTGAGAGCATATCACATTTATGCATGATATGTGATGAAGGCAAATTAATAGAGTGTACTATTTTAAGAATTTGCTTTACAAATTCATTTATATATGCTCAATAAAACAAGGATGAAACGCATTCATATATATATACCATTGCTTAAACACTACATTTTTTCTAAAAATGGATTGTATATAATCAGGTATGTCTTCATCAGCTCAAGATTGCCAAATAACCCTCTATTTCTGATTTATAAATAAGCCAGAAGTTACAAATCGCATCTTCTTCAGCTCGAGTCTCACCCTCGATACTCAAAACTCGAGCTCGAGATATTTTGTTCAGCTTTCGCGCATAGTGCGAGTTTTCGGGTTGGTGAAGGTGAAGACAGATTTTTACAGATATATATGCATTATTCTTCTCTGGAAAATTGATTTCCAATGAATGCAATCCTTTTTTTCATCCACATTCTAATTTTCCTGTAATTTGGAAAATGAATGCACAATTCTGTAAATGTAGAGAATCAATGAATGCATTTTCCTTCTTTCAACAATAGTTTACAAATACATTTTTGTTAATCATCATTACAGAATGAACTGATTACTATTATTTGAAATACAGAGACAATTTTGTAGTTCATTCTCTATTTCTTAGGATCGTTTTTAGTTCCTTCCACAACAAGAGCTGTATTGTTTATGTGCTACACCATATGCCCCTGCAGTCCAAGTGTACATGTACACTGAATAAGATGAGCATTTCTAATACACACGATTGTTTGAGCGTAGAGGAATTTGTAAAGCTCAAAGAGTATGCATTGATTTTTCAGCATGCATGAGCCCTGAGTCTGGTTTGAATTTACACGCTATTATTCCAACACAATATACTTCAACCATTGTGCCATACTTAAACCATTTACTCTAATCAGTGATCCATGACTATTATGTAACACCCATGTAAGCTTTTACTAGGAGAAATACCGTACAGTAATGGACATTGTATATATGGACAAAGGAAATGTAGATCTACATCTTGAGAAAATATCATCCTGGAAACTGAAAGTCATAGGCCTATAGCTGGTAACTTCTTGTATAGATGTATGTTTCTTATGATCCAAAACATGGGCCTACATACATGCAAGATCCACCGATCTGGTCATGCATGCATGGATGCAGCACTCTATAAGGATAGTTTAGGAGTTTTTGATAGTATAGCCTTTATGCTTATAATCCTTTTGGTACCCTTATCAGGGAGAATCAATTCGCCCTTGGTATTTTTGATAAGTTCCCATGCATATTATTGACACCAGACATGGTATTCCATGGCAAGAACCTGGGTGTATAGAACCTTGTACAATATACCTGTACGGTATGTACAATGTAAGCATAAGTTTCTCAGCATCCAACTTTATCTAAATGAGAAACAAGTAATTCAATCAGCAGATGTACGAGATTTATTGTATTATTTACCAACCCTCCTTCTCTCCCCTTTCCCTTTTTTCTCTGCAAGTCAGTCTTTTCTATTTGTATTGTTGTTGTATCTTGGGGCGCGTTCATGCTTGATTTTGACGGCCAGAATCAGGCATCTGTTACGCGTTTAGTTTAAAACACGGTTGCGTCTTAGCTCACTTTGGTAGAATCACCGAAAAACGGCGATCACGATCGCCGATCGTAAACTCACAAAAAGATGCGTTTAAAATTTGTAAACGCGTTTAAATGGGGTCAACGCACTGACCTCTAGTGGGTCTACGTAGCATGCACAGTGAAGGTTTGCGAATCCAGCTGGAAGACCAATTAAGGCCACACACTGAGAATTGCCTGGGGGAGCCAGAGAAGTAAGCATGAACACTACATCGTGGAACTGCGATCACGATGAGCGTTTACGATGAGCGTTTCAGATCGCTCATTCTGCCTTCAAAATTTAAGCATGAACGCAGCCTAAGTTGAGGGCTGAGGGCATGTCAAGCTACTTTGCTTATTTCTGTAGCCCTCCTGCATCCAATGTATGCATTCAATATATTTGTTTAAATTTGTTAATTATCTGTATAAAATTATATACACTTAAAATATTGTATCAAACCATATTATGTTCATGAAAATGTATGATGAAAAAAGAAAAAAGATGCAGAAACCAATAAATCAAATCAAATCAAATCAAATCAAATCAAATAATCATGCAAGCACTATCCCGCATTAATTAGCGACTTTCATTGGAAACAATGATCTCACTCAAAGGATGCTAATCATATGACTTGAGCTGGAGTCTAGATTGAGCTTGAGTCTAGATTGAACCTAATCCAATCCAATCCAATCTAACAATCTAAATCAATGAAACTGGGCTGATCTAAATAAATTTTGAAACCATACCTACATATCGTCGCTGTTTTCACGAAGTGACGGTAGTGAAAAAAAATTGCATTCACTTTGCATTACGATTTTCCTCACTACCGTCACTTCGTGAAACCATACCTACATATATATATATATATATATATATATATAGTACAACAAATCTCTTCTTTGTGTATTATCATGCACATGGGCATTAAAACATCAAATCAAACGTTATTGTAATTCAAATAAAAATGAGAACACCCAAACCTCATATTATGATCAAGATAACACATTCCACATGGCTAGCCAAGCAAGCTTGTCATTTAGGTTAATCTCCTTCAAATTGGCAAGTTTCTCTATAACCTGCTTCTCTAATTTGACATTATTTTTAAGCTTCAATAACTCTGAAAGAAAGCAAAACTCGTGAGGTAAACAGCTTTTGTTGAATATTACAATGTTCGGTTTCGAGTGACTGACTTGGTGCAGGGTTGGAATGGATGAAAATAGCTGGAATTTTCACACAAAAGATGTATACTTTTCACAATAAGAAAATAGATGATTTGTTGGAAGTGGAACAAGAAATCCCTTCTTTGATACTAAATAATATCATTTTCTCAGTTTGAAGCACAATTATAGATAAAATGACACATTTTTCATACTGATAATAGTGTACAGTAGTAACATTTTATTGCTGGTGTTCACGAAACATAGATTTCATGTCATTTTAGTGTTTGGCATATTTTCTTGCTCATCAAAAAGAAATGCAAACAGTAATACGAAACAGCTTTGACATTTAAAATCATCTAAGTGTCAAATTGCTTGGATATTCACTATATTGTCAATATAGAAAGTGTAAACACACTGTAAGTTCAATCACTGTTCTATTTACTTAGGCCTACCATTGTTATCAATGAGTATAATATTTCATAACATTATTATAAGTTACAAATTCTTTCTTTTGCTTATGATTGCAAACAGATTGGCATCTTCTTTCCAGTTAAGCTCTTCATCATTAAAGGAAACCTCACCCCGAAGAATATGTGTAGATGTGCTAAGAGATTGATGAGAGTTACTCCTGCCTTTTGATGTACACAAAAATGTACAAGAGATATATAAATGAGAATATTATTGGCATGATGTAATGCTTTTCAGCAGACATGGGCCTAGCCATTTTCTTGCTAATGTGACATATTTGTACCAGACAAACTTGTAGCAGGGATATCCCTGCTTGTACCACCTACGCACCAAGTCCTACATGTAGTTGGAAAGACTTTTTAGTTCAATAACAAGACCTTTACTTTTCAATGAAGGAAAATCATAGCTGAAAAAGAAGAATTCATATTTAGTGAAAATATATATAAACAGGGGAACAATTAAAACTCACTTATTTAATAAAATACTAAAAAATAATTATAGCAGTTGACAAATCTATTCAATTTATGCCAAACTTCACCCAAGAAGTTCAATAACAAGACCTTTACTTTTCAATGAAGGAAAATCATAGCTGAAAAAGAAGAATTCATATTTAGTGAAAATATATATAAACAGGGGAACAATTAAAACTCACTTATTTAATAAAATACTAAAAATTAATTATAGCAGTTGACAAATCTATTCAATTTATGCCAAACTTCACCCAAGAAGTGCAACAACTTACATCTTTATGCGTTCTAAAAATTGTAGTACAAAAGATAATAGCAGGTGAATGAAATACTGCATCACCACACACACTTGGGAATTCAGCATCCATGAACTTGAAAACATGTAATTGATAAAGGACTTTGCTATATGTAATTGTCATGTTATCAAGAAAATGGTAATGCCCAAAATCATGATGAGAAAACTGTATTTAACATATACACTGTATGCTATGAATACCTTGCTTTTTATGTCTCATACATTGGTGGCAACTTAATCTTTTAGAATAAAATGAACCTCTCAGAATAACTAAAGTTATTTTCTTGGGATGAGTTTTCCTTTAAAGAATAATCAAATATTAAACCCAAAAGTAAACAAAAAAGATTTTGCAAATAAATTAAGTAGATTAGAGGGCAATCAACACAAATTTATAAACAAACAACAAAACCTAAAAAGAAATTCCACAGCCCCCATACATGTCCACATATGACATGCAAATACTTGCTAAATTACTCCCACACAACTCAGACATCACACACAAATGGCCATATAAGGCAATTCTTTCATATCTGCTTGAAAGATAAACACATTAGTCATGTGGTACCTGAGAGTAGGACCACACCTAGTAATGCACTTTATGAGGGAACAGATAGCCACCTTGCTGCCCACTCCTCAGGGTAGGGCTCATAAAAAGGTTGATAAACTGTTCTATTTAAAGGGATCGTTTAACAATGTTAAATCTGAGATACAAGGCCCTACGTGTTATCAGTGTCTGTGATATGGTGTAATATTGAAGCCCTAACAACCTGCGCTTCAAAATGATCAAGAAGTGCCTCAAAAAAGTAAAAAAAATTGAGTGACCGGTTCTACCATACTCATTTTCCCCAATAGACTGTAGTGTTATGAAAACCGTTTGGCAAACGGTTTTTGTAATTCCAATCATAAATATCTTGATAATCAGACAGGCGATCGGCATGTAAAAGTCATGGGGTTTCTGACTGACCAAAAGGTATCATCATTGCAGCATGAGCTAAATTCAGAATCTGAGACAAAGTTACCGGATCCCTCTAATATCAAGTGACTGCATACTGCAGTTTTATGGATCTACCTAATTTGCCTGGAAAATATCAAAAACCAATTTGAATGAGTGTTGTTGTATGAATCAAATCAAATCAAATCAAAATAATGGATTGATTATCATTTTTCCATTGTGTTGGGTATGAGGTAAGGAACTTATTACATGCAGGAGAGTACATTACTGTGTAAGCATTTACTTCCACAAACCACAGGCAGTAATACCGGTAACTATTTCTTAGATAATTTCAAATGGAAAAGCAAGTTCTTAAATACAGTATATGACACCTTTTTGCACAGCTCTGTTCAAAAAGTTAAATCCATCTCTCCTCCTCGATGCGTAGGTACGTTACATTACTCTCTTTACTAATTGGCCAGAGGAAACGTTGGCTTAAAGCAGGTCAAAAGAAGTAAGTCAGCGTCCTGATAAGTCTATGAAGAGGATCCACTTAACACCGTTAGACCATGATTAGACCTAACCCAGCTAAAGGTTATTTGGTAATTGGCCAATCCTATTTTGACTCCTTGCTAAGTAGTGTTTTATCTCCATACAATCAGCAAATATAGAGTATCAACCCTATTAACAAATAGTATGATCTCTAGTCTGTATCAGATGGGTAAATCAGACGGGTAATGAACTGTTATACAAACAAGTACCGTGTTTGGGGTCCAAAGTTGAATTTTTAAAGATAGGAGCAATTATGTCAAATCACCCCAGGATTTTTATTTTTTATGAGACATACAAAATGACTGCTCTAAAATGAAAAAGGGGGCCTTTTTAAACTATCTGTATTCTGTAATGACAGGATTATTTAGCTCAGCTAAGTGAATACTATCATTGCTTTCAATAAAAATTAAACTAAAATCAAAAAGGAGCTCTTGTGAACAACAACAATTATGCTATAAAGATTAAAAAAAGAAATTTGTGTTTGATACTTTCTACCTTCTTTTTCGGACTTAGCAACAACTAGTCCCACTTGTTGTATTCTGTGTGGGTGGATCGGTTGCCATAGGCAAGTTTCCCCTTGTTTCCGTTACCAATTTAAATTGGCCCCTTCTTGGTTTCCTGTCAAAAATTGCTGTCATGTTTTCTGAATGAATGACACATTTCGGTTCCCACTTGATGACCTTTGCAGGGGACAGGTATCTAGTTAACTCTCTGCATACCATCGCAATATGAATAGGTGTCAAGTACATAGAATATGGTTTTGACAATGAAGTTTGTGTCAGCTAGTGATGTTGCAATGTAATGCAGGGCTGTCAACCCTCCCACATTTGGAGGGAGTTTCACGCCACCACGCTCATTCTCCCGCCGCCCCAAAAGCTTGTAGCTGGGTTGGGTATTCTTAAGTTGCTCCGAAATATCTATACTTTCTTATGTCTGATTTATGAATCAGATAATTGGATCTCAATAACGAAAAACTGGAGAGAAAGTTTTTCACCGGATTTCGGCAAAAATCGCTAGTTAACGGTACCCACCGTTTTGGGAGTGGGAAGGTTGACGAATTTCATTAAAAAAAAAAAAAAAATCCCCGTACCAGACGGATATTTCTGTCTAACTCTATGGATGTGTCTCTTCCCCTCCCCCTCCCCCTCCCCCTCCCCCTCCCCCTCCCCCTCCCCCTCCCCCTGAAAAGCTGGGGGAAACAGGAGAGGATCCCAAAATTGACCGGTCAGTCCTTGGCACAATTGTCTGATATGCCTCAATTTTAATTATGACGTTACAGAAGTCATGAACACACCCTATCTCCATTTCATATGTCATAAACAACAACTTTGACATCTCATAATTTAATAAAATGTTGACATTACTGTACAGTATCATGACTATCAGCAGTATCATCTGATCATGGGGTAGTCTGGTAGTACTAGTAGGATAAGAACTGTTACATTTAATCTGTAATTCTTCACAACTCTGACATTTGGATTACCTAATTGTACATTACAAATGAGTAGGCTACTTGAGCATCTCATTATTCGCACAAATATCATCATGAATATGTGGACATGCAAACGCCGTGGCGGTCTCAAATCACGTTGAATACACCTGTTATGTTACGATGCGCCTGCACAATGTAGTAGAATCATCGTCACTAGCAATTTACATAACGTAAAACTAAAAGGCATCACAAATTTCACTTTTCCGTACATGCCACACTTTCATATTTCACATATAGAGTCTAAGGGTATCACGTTAGTCAATGTAATAAAAACTGAGAGCTTTGCCTACCTTTCAAGAGACGGCTAAATGAGAGGTATTGGTAAGGTTGGTATTTATCTGGAACAGGTGGTGGAGTGGCACGCGACGACTAGATCAAGCAGAGGGCTTTTTCACCGCATCGCACATCACACAACGTATACCGCACACCGCTGCGTTCGGACGTGACCGCGATTGAGTGTAGTTTCTTTTTAGACGTTTCGAGAAAATGAATAAATTAAAAACATTTTTTTCTCCTTTTAACTTGTCAGGTACATGATTTTGTTTTGTTTAAAAGGTGATGGTATAGTCAGTAAAACAAATTACGAAATAGTGACATGTGCTTTAGGAATCAACGATTATACCACATATCATGATATCTGGCACTCCCTTTTTGTGTGTTTACCAGATATGGGGTAGATCTATATGTTAATTATTACAGAAAGTTGATTTTGTTCTTCCTTAATTCTTAAACGACAAAAATGACACTATAGGTATATACTAACATTTTCCTATAATTATAGCCTTTTTTCTTTTCTGTTCTTTTTGTCTTTCTTTTTTTTTCTATTCTTTTAATTCTGTCTTTCTCTTGAGTTTTACATCGAGGCCCATCCTCTTTATAGTTTGTTTTCTTGTTCTTTCCTCCCATTCATTTACCTACTGCTTCTTCTCAATTTTATCCTTTTTTTTAACCATCTCACCTTCTTTCTTCACTCTTCCTCGGCAGCAACTGACAGAAAGTAGTGCATTCGATGTCTCATATTAGCTAAGTTCCTGAGCCGTGTTCCACTATGTCAAAACGTAATAATTGGTGCGATAATATAATCTTGAATCATGCTTTAAAAGAAGGAAATGTTTATTTCAACCCAACTTTCCCTCATTATGTTCAAATTCGTTCACAAATACTTTTTATGTACAAGCGGCTTATGTTATAATTTTGTCTTTAATGCATTGTTTTGTTTATGTTGCTGTGGTGAACTATTTAGTTCATTGTTCTTTTAAACAGGTAACCTGGATCTACTTTGTGTTTTCCTTTATATTTGTTTCATTTGCTTAAATGAAGGAAGAGAGAAATAAATGTTACATCAAGTGGAGGACTAAGGTGTTCTTGATTAGTATTAACACGTAAACAAAAACAAATCTCAGTTTGTCACATGAAAGTGCGTCCTGCTATGACAGATTTACTCAGAAAACCTTAGCTCCTCATGCCATGAGACAAAAATGCAACATTTGTATATCTTTTTAAAGTTTTATTCAGACAGAAATGATTTGATTCTGATTTGTATAAACCTTGAATAAGCTTTTTATGGGGGAAAAATAAACGGTTAGTCAACTCGGATACGGAAAAATGAGATGTTCTAAAAAAAAAAAATGTCATTTGAGTCCAGTTTTCTGATCACACAACTCTTTATGAAAACCCAATTTCTTCTGATTTTCTTTAGATTAGGCCTACACCTCGAGTAAAATTATAATAACCCATTCTTGTATAGCGCATAACATATTAAGGCTATAAGAGATAAGCGCTTTATAAGCACCGTTTTTATCATTATTATTATTATGTCCAAATACTCTTGGGAAGAAAGGAGGGGGGGGGGGGCAAAGAGAGAATAGATTACTGAGTTCCTTTTACACGATTGAAATTTAGAATTAAAGATGTTTTAACGGCAGACTTGAAATTAATTGTAGTAGTGTTTGTCAAGGGAGTCCGTGGCCAGGTAAATGAACGTTCAAGGTATGCTTTTTTATCAACAATATTAATAAACAATATTAATAAACACATTATTTCTACATGATTGAAGATTTCTTGTTTGTCAGTTTAAACAAATTATTTACTTGAATTACTTTATATCGGCCGGTTAAAAAACAACAGCGCATAGTGTAAGAATAACATAGGTGATGTTTAATAAAACGTAAAGAAGGCCTAGAGAATCTTGCTTTGACAGGGAAAATTGTGGGAAGAAGGAGTAGGGGAAGAAGGAGGATACTTTGGATGGACAGTCTGCAGAAATTGTTGGAAGAGAGAGGAGTGAAAGAACTGGAGTGGTACTAATACAGAAGGCTAGGAGCCGAGGGTTGTGGAACAGCATGATCGCCAAAGTCAAATGATATGGCACTTAGAGAGAGAGAGAGAGAGAGAGAGAGAGAGAGAGAGAGAGAGAGAGAGAGAGAGCTGTTTAATACAAACAGCATAATAAAACGACCTCAATAAAGACTACAGAGTAATCGATAGCTACTCGCGCCGTTCCTTTTGATAGTGGGAGTGGCCCTTGTAGGGATTCATCCTTGCTTCGTGATGATTCATAGAAATATCATATAGAAAGGCAACACATATTACACTTTATTATAAGTTGTATCATCTTTCCTTCATTTAGATGAAGTTATAATAGGTGTGACTGGATCAATGTTTCTAGCTTTGATAACAAAATAATAGGTGTTGTAGAATTAGCAATATGGTAAGCAAATAAGGTGTGGACAAAAATCAGTGGCAATATTGAATATATTGTAGGTAATGGTTTTGTTTTGAAAGCAAAAGTTAAACTTTCAAACATACATATTACCAATACAAATAACCTGTCATGATTGTATAATGTATGAGTGTTTTATCAATCTAATTAATGGTCAATAAATCGTGTTGCCAAAATACTTTTACTTCAAAGCTTCTCCAAACTAACTGTCCCTCCTCCCTCCCCCAATATTTTAAAGTCTCTCTCTTTCTCTTACCTCACATTTTGTAGATCTCCTCCCCCCTCTCTCTCTCTCTCTCTCTCTTCCCTCATGTTTGTTAATCTCTATGTCTATTTTTGTACATACATTTCCTTACCTATGTTTGTCTAATAAATCATGGAATGCTCATCACAACAAAATATACACACAATTAAGTGAGGGTCTATATTATATCATAAAATATATGATTTATTAAATTGAATGAGTTAGGTACAAATAAATCATCAACGAATTAGAAGAACATTGTTAGATGTATTATAATCTTTGTTATAAAATTGCACTTAATTGTAAAGTTCATATAAGATTTAAATACGTGTGTAGACGATACAAACAGAAATACAAACTGGGTAACATATATTATTATTATTATTATTATTATCATATTACTTATACCAAGCTTTTCCCATAAGACCCAAAGCGGTTACAGTAAATTAAAATTAAAATTACATAAATACATGTAATAAGAAAAAAAAAAGTCTTACAACTACAAACTGCAAAACAAAATGTTTTTAAGGCCTTTCTGAAGGTAATAACTAGGAGGAAAATCTGGATGGAATAATAAAATTGCATATGTACACATACAGTATATCTATGTAATTATTCTACTCTATCATGTTCTTAGCAAGCATACTGTAACATTGTTATTTTGCAATTTGTACTTCATCATCCAACAAATCCATTCATTCCAATTCAATGTTATTCAATTAAATCATCCATATCAATAGAAATTTGTTTTGTTTACATGTCTACAAACTAGAAAACATAATTTCTGGTAACATTCTGCACTATTATTTTTTCCTCACAAAAGAAGTGTTGTGTACATGATAAAGGTACAAACAATCAAAAGTTACTCATCCATTCTCTTCTACTTGTGAGAGAACATCAACATTTGGAGTGGACTTTAAAAGATTATTATTATTATTATTATTATTATTTTAACATTATAGCAGAGGCTTGATTGCACATTAAAAACATTCTCTGAACTTACAACGTTCATGACCTTAATGTGTAGTCATACATACATATCTGTTTGCACTGTGTATTGCTGTTCGTCACTTTACATTTTTAGTATCATTGAGTAAATTTGTTACAACATTGAGTAATATATAATTCTCTATTTACAAAATAATCAACTGTAGAAAACAATTTTTTTTTCAGAGTACAATATCATAACTTTATACATATAAAGATTCTTTCAAGATTTATACAAATTAAAAAATCTGTGAAAATTAAATAAAAATTATTAAAGAACAAGATATTCCAATGATGAACATTCTGAATATACTACATATATAATAAGCATACTGTACATCAACACCTATTTAGGTCTATGTACAATTGCAGTTCCTTGAATAATATGACATATCAGATTTTGAAAAAGCAAAAGAAGAATACATTTATTTACTCGGAATAGCCTGAATATGAAGAAAAAAGTATATTATAACAAATGCTGAAAATCAAACTCACCAGAAGACGATGACATATACAGACATATATAGATAAATTATAAGGAATTTCTAAAACAGCATGATGGTCTTCTAATAGAGAAATAGAACATTAATGAATAGAGCGTCATTGTTATGACATTTAGATAACAAATACATGTAAAACTTTGGTATGTGTATCAGTAATACAATCATTAAAATCATTTGGGAATGGTTATGTAAATGACAACTACAGTATTATACAACTAATTTATGATTGCAAGAACAAGTCAAAAAGTCACAATGAGCTAGATAATTAACTAGATAAGTCTTGTTCATTATCCGATTGTGATTGTGAACTTCAAAACATGAAATATTTGTTTCATTAAAACGGGTCGGCAATATGAATATAAAGTCGAGAAATAAGCAACTAACCTGATTAACATGCTAAATTTAGCACAGTCACTGAGGCCGCCATTTGCTTTATTGAATGCCATCGCATAAGCGCAGACATCAATGTCAATACTATTTGAATTGCGTACATTTCATCGCCTCTTGGTTTTGTACGTGCCACATGTATGCATATGTGCATCTCATAGCTACGCATTATCACTTTTAGCCGGGAGTTGTCACTTTTTGATGTGTACTTTTTTTGCATGTGAGGCGGGTAGGACAAAATAACACACAGTCACATGTTGTCTTTTGACCAATTAGATTGCCTATATTCTAGAACCATGTTCCTAAATTGGCAGATATACATACATTTCACCTTTACTGAACAGCTTAGTTTACAAACATTTAAAATTTAAAGCTTATCTGCCATAGTTTACAGGAGGGATTAGAGCGCCCAGCAAGGTCACTGGACAGGTGGTTATCTCATCAACTCAGCTCTCAGTTAACATAAGAAAAAGAGGATCATGGGGGACCAATGGTCACCGATTAGACATTGTTTGTTATATAGAGGGCGCAAGTAGCTACAAGTAGTGCAGTGGGCCTTTAACTTTCAAGACTTACATTTGAGCTATAATTCTTAATTTCTCTGTCAGAGTACATACCAATTTAGGGTAGATCTATTATAGGATACATGCACTGCATCTATAAGCTAAGAGTCAGGGATGGTTCTGCCATTCTTCTTCTTCCTTGAATTTTTGTTTTAATCCTGTAATAGTAACTAAATGTTTCCTTCATAATAAAATCCTGTGTAGGCCTAAAAACATCTTCCTTCACAACTAACATATGTACTTGTTTTTAGGCAAGAAAAGAAATTTAACCATCCTTGGTCCAAACACACAGTAAATCATTGATTTTCGTGGGTAGAATGTGCTGCCCATTGAATGGAAAACGGGAAGTCAGGAGGCACAAAGAGGGAAGTCAGGAGGCACAAAGAGGTCAGCCACTGTGCATAAAGTTATATATACTGGTACATGTACATACAATCACATATTTTTTTTCAAAGTAATAAAATAAAATTATATATAAAAACATATGCATGTATATCTAATATCACTACATTTTCAGCATCAGATATATGATAAAAAGGCAAATCTTATTTTTTAAAATATAAACTTGTAACAAAATTACCTGTATTTTTTTCAATTCCAGACGTAACAAAAAGAGTACTGTATATGACTGTGCGTAATAATAAAATATAAATCCTATTACAGTCGAAGGCAAAGGCACAATCATGCCATATCTCATCAATTAAGTATATATTTATGCTTATACTCATCGAAATGTTCATTCCTTCGTGTCATTGTAAAAACATTTCTTTCAGCTGCGATCACGGCAATGGAAGGCAACATGATTCAATTTTATTGCTCTTTTGTGAAGTGCATCAGATCTACATTTAATACAATTTTCTCTTCGAGACTCTTATTCTTATAAAGCTTAACCTACTTGTATCGGAATATTTTATTTGACAAGATAAAATGTTGATTTCCTTTTTAGTGCAGTGTATGAAATGTACACGAGTTGCCTAATGTCATTACCTACTTTATCTCATGTCACACACTACTTTGAATTTTAACCAGTTGGCAAGGGTATTCTTATGTGCATCAAGATGAGTATAAATATCTTGGTATCAAGTTCATTTTCATAATAACATAAAATGTGATGAACTGATCACTAAAATTTATGGAGGGAAAAATAATGAAGTTTCAAACTTGCATTTTACTAAACACATATTAGCAATTCTGTATTTAAGTTGCAAGAGGGACATTCCCTGTTTGGTTTGCAGAATGGTGGAAGCACCTTATGCTGTTCTACTAAACAACCAAGAGGGACATTCCTTGTTTGGTTGGCAGAATGGTGGAAGTACCTTATGCTGTTCCACTAAACAACCAAGAGGAACATTTCTTATTTGGTTGGCAGAATGGTGGAAGTACCTTATGCCGTTCTACTAAACAACCAATACAGATATTCCTTGTTTGGTTGGCAGAATGGTGGAAGTACCTTATGCTGTTCTACTAACCAACCAATACAGACATTCCTTGTTTGGTTGACAGAATGGTGGAAGCACCTTATGCTGTTCTACTAACCATCCAAGAGGGACATTCCTTGTTTGGTTGACAGAATGGTGGAAGCACCTTATGCTGTTCTACTAACCATCCAAGAGGGACATTCTTTGTTTGGTTGGCAGAATGGTGGAAGTACCTTATGCTGTTCTACTAAACAACCAAGAGGGACATTCCTTGTTTGGTTAGCAGCATGATGGAAGTAACTTATGTTGTTTTACTAACCAACCAAGAGGGAAATTCCTTGTTGGTTGGTAAAATGGTGGAAACACCTTAAGCTGTTCCTTTAAACAAGGACAGACACTGTTTAGCAGAAGGTCGGTAGCATTTAGATGCCTGACACTTGAAAAATATGTTTTGTTGTTGTTATGAAACTACTAAAATTAAGTAGATAAGTAATCCATGTCCAGTTAAAAAAGAGAGAAAACATTGTCATGCTTAAAACCTGGTATAGCATGTACAGAACATTAGAAGGAAGGCATGAGAGAATGGTAAAATGCACTTCTTCCAGCTACACAACACATTGTTCATAATGCTCAGTATAAATCATATGGAGAGTTGTTTTCAAGGCTAATCAAAGAGTTGCCAATTTGAGTTTGATCAATCATTACTTTAATACATTCCATTTTTCTTAGTGTATATGATTATCATCAATCAATCAATCAAATTTCTATTGCTCGTATATTTATGCCTTTAGATACAGTAAAAAGTAACTACATACAAGTATTATTATTCCCTGATACCATTTGAAAGATTCAAAGTAAATATTCTAAAAAGTCATCATTTCCATCACGAGAGAGAACAAATATCTCGTGATTTGATTTTAAAGATTCAAGAATGAAATATTCATGTTACAGTGCTTCAAAATAATTCCCATTTGGATAATAAAACAACATATTCAGGCTCATTGTACATTAAAAATACACCTCTATGAAAAAGAATAATCGTTCTCTACTTTACTCTTTTCACGTTGCACTGATTTCGGGAGCAGCGCCTCCGTCTCTGAGTGATAAGAATAATCCACCTCCAGAGGAGGCATGCTGTCCGATGCCTCGTCAACACTCGCAGGTCGACCTGTGACCTTTACATACTTGTAATGGCGTGCGATGACCAGGAAGACTGCGAAGTCAAGCAGCATCATGCCAGCAAGGAGGAAGTAGAAATATTCCAAGTATCCATTGTTGATTTCATCGGGAAGCCAGGTGTCTGTATTGTATGGAATGTAAAGAAAATGCAATTTAGGCCAAAGTACAATGCAATCCTAAATTGACACTGTAAATCAAAATATTTTGCAGAAGGTGACAGACATTCTAATTGTTTAGAATTGTTTGATCTAACTAAACATACCATTTCTATTACTAAATGCGTTAATCACGGATGCCAATTAGAATTGATCAGAGGGCCTGAAAATCACCTAAAATGAGCTAGTTTGTACACAAAAAAACCTAAACTATGGTATGAAAATAACTCGCCAGGGCCAGAATTCAGGATATTGCCTGAAAACTGGCATCCCTGATTAATACTCTCACAAAAATGCGCTCTTCAACTACGACTTTGGTCAGGATAGCCCAAGCTGAGGATGTGGTACATTCGGCGGTAATATACCACCTTGTCAAACTAGGTCTGCACACTGTGATATTATACAAATAATACACAGGTTTGAGTGCGTTAAATGGACGATGCAGCGCATGAGGGTATTCACTATGGTGCCAAGTGTATTTTGTGACATTGTGAATACCCGAATAGCGCTGCATCGTCATCACGTCACGAACAAAAACCTGTGTATTATTTGTTTTATAAAATGGGTCGACAATCTTACTTAGCAAGGCGATAACACTGTAAACCTGGAACCTTCATTGGAAATAATGTGTCACACAGACGATCACGGCAGCAGTGCAGTGCATGGTGCGACTCCTCGTAAACATGCATTGAATTGCATGCAGCGTGCATTATGCCTTTTTGTTGCACCTTTTTTTGCACGGCTGCTATCACCAAAATGTACTCCTGTGCATATGGCAAACTAGATGGAATTCGACTGCGCGCAGTCAAAAATGATGCCTCCGTCATAGAGCAATTTTACAAACCGAAACGGAAGAAATTTTTCAAATTCAAGTTCAATTGTAATCCATTAACATGTTCTCAGAATATCGTGATTACAAGCAATTTCTCATAAACATATATGACCCTTTGATCTTTGACCTCATGACTCTAAAATCTACTCAGTTCATTGGCTCTGCAAGATTTCCTGAGTTAAATAGTAATCCATCTGTCAGTTCTAATGAGAATGCGTCCACAAGCTATTTTTGCATACATAATGAGCCCATGACCTTTGATCTTATGAACCATTCATTGGCTCTGCAAGATACATAAATGATCTAAGTTTGGCAGGAATCCATCAATCTGTTCTAATGATAATACGATCACGAGCTATTTTTGCATACATAATGAGCCGCATGACCTTGACCTTTACCTCATGACCCCAAAATCTAATCAGTTCATCAGCTCTGCAAGTAACATACATGACCAAAGTTTGGCAGGAATACATCAATCGGTTGTTCAGATAACGCGATCACGAGCTGTTTTTGCATACATAATGAGCCCTGTGACCTTTGACCTTTGACCTCGTGACCCCAAAATCTAATCAGTTCATCAGCTCTGCAAGATACATACATGACCAAAGTTTGGCAGGAATTCATCAATCGGTTGTTCAGATAACGCGATCACAAGCTGTTTTTGCATACATACAAGAAAAGTGTAATACAGAAATTAAACGTAAACGGAAAGATTGTTACTAAGGAAAAAGAAATTGTTGAGGGAATAAAACAGTTTTACAGTCAGTTGTATAAAAAAATAGAAGTTGTACTAGATGGAGGTTTAGAATTTTTCCCTAGTAACATGCCAAAATTGAACGAGACCTTAAGGGGTTTAGGTGAAGAAAAGATAGTAGAAAGGGAATGTATAGAAATATTAAAAAATATGAAATTAAATAAATCACCAGGAAATGATGGCTTAAGTGTAGAGTTTTATCTTAAATTTTGGCCGGTAATTGGAGATCTAATCCTTGCATCTTTTAATGAAGCCTTTAATCATGGAGAACTATCGGCCTCTCAGAGACAAGCAGTTATCACCTTGATACATAAAAAAGATAAAGATTCAGACTTTATTAAGAATTACAGACCGATTTCTCTTTTAAATGTGGATTATTATACAAATAATGAATGGTTATGAGTTCAATAGTGCGAATATTTTCATGAGTTGAAAGATTAACATTCTATTCACCGAGGCGTCAGCCGAGTTGAATAGAATTATTGTTAATCTTTCAACGAATGAAAATATTCGCACTATTGAACGAATGAAAAACATTCATTATTTGTTTTATACAACATCGAAGAAGATCTAATAGAACGTTAATCAACAAATTATGCTTGACTCCTTATATTAAAGATAAATTCAAGTTGGATTCAAGCCTTCTCGATTACATTCAGATTGCCTTCGCGTCAGATACACGCAGGGATACGCGCGCGCACGGCAGAGAGGTACGCAGTCTGCATATAACCAAAAATGCACGGCGCATATAACCAAAAATGCACGACCGTGCAATATACCATCTATTGAATATCATGTGACCAACAATCCTCCAATCAAATGACAGGGATCCACGTACGTGTTGTATAAAACATTTTAACAAAGACACTTTCAAAGAGATTGCAAGAAATTTTACCTGATATTGTATCTTCTGATCAACTTGGATATGTTAAGAATAGAAACATTGGAGAAGCCATAAGAATAATAGATGACATGATATTTCATACTTCTTTTTATAAGGAAAATGCTTTTTTGATGGCCTTAGATTTTGAAAAGGCATTCGACTCTGTTTCTCATTGTTTTCTATACAAAGTCTTAAATTCATTTGGGTTTGGACCATTGTTTTGTAAATGGGTGAATATACTTTATACTAATACTGAAAGTTGTGTTATGAATGGAAACGCATCAACAGGTTATTTTAAAGTTGAAAGAGGAATTAGACAAGGAGACCCATTATCTCCATACCTGTTCATTTTATGCATTGAAATTTTAGCTCATACGATTAGAAACAATCAATTGGTAAAAGGAATTTGTTTTGGAAATACAGAAATAAAGCAAGTATTATATGCTGATGATATAACACTCTTCATCAAAGATATGAGTTCAGTTAAGGAAATAGAACACGTTTTAGAAGGTTTTTATAAAATATCAGGATTAAAGTTAAACAAGGATAAGACATATATTCTGCCCCTGGGCCCACAGGTGTCTAATAACACATTTCCGTTTGGGAAACTTGTAGATGCTGTTAAAATATTAGGTGTTTATTTTTCAGTTCATGTAGATATCAAGGAAAAAATGAATTATAAGGAAATATTGAGCAAAATTAAAAAACTACTGACGTGGTGGAAACAGCGTGACCTAACTTTAATGGGTAAAATTCAATTGATGAAAGTATATGGATACTCTAAATTGACATATGTAACATCACTAATGCCAGTTCCAGAGTGGGTATACAAAGAAATGGAAGTAATATGTTTTGATTTTTTGTGGAGAGGTAAAGATAAAATTAAAAGAAGTACAATGATGTTAGACTATCAGCAGGGTGGGCTCAAAATGATGAATTTTAGGTTGTTTGTAAAAGCACAAAGAATAATGTGGATAAAAAGGCTTGTAACAGGAACTCATGATATCAAATGGAAACAATACTTTAAATATTTAATGAGACCGATAGGAGGTAATTTAATATTTTATTGCAATTATTGGAGAGATACAGTGAAACTTATGTTACCTTCCTTTTATCAGAATCTTCTGAAAGCATGGATAGATATGAAAGAATATGTTAAAACAGAAGAGAGATACAAAGGGAATGAAATATTGTATAATAATAATTTTATTCAACTAGAAGGTCAAACCTTATTTGAGGAAACTTTGTTTTTGAAAAATATATATCGAATTCATCACATTTGTGAAGAAAATGGAGAATTGAAACCTGAAGCTCATTTTATAATGTTAGGTTTGAGCAGAGTGGAAATTGATAAAGTAAAACAAATTTATAACGTAGCCCCTTATGAATGGAAACAGAATGTTCAACCTTTAAGAAAAGCAATTCACACTGGCTTTAGTTTAGAATTTATTTTTTCAAAGAAAGTGTTTACATTTGAAGATTTAACTGCAAAAATGGTATATAAGAGTCAAATTAAAAAGAATGTAGAAACAAACTCGGCAGGCGGCAATTTAATGACACTTTACAATATTCCAAGAAAAGAAGTAGAAAAGATATATGTTCAACCAAGGATGTGTACCTTAAGTAGTAAACTGCGAGAATTTCAGTTCAAATTATTGCACAATATTTTATATACAAATCATCATTTACATAGATTCAGGTTCCATGAAAATGGTTTGTGCTCATTTTGCAAAAATTTTGAAGAAACTTATCAACATATATTCTTTGAATGTAATACAATAAAGGAAGTCTGGGGGAAATGTGGAGATAGACTTAATTTACCAATTTTGAAGAAATTATCCTGGAAAGAAATTCATATAGGAATAGATGAAACTACATTTAAAACAGAGCAATTATTGAACCACATTTTAATTTTGATTAAATATATGATTTTCCACAGTAGAGAGAAGGGAAACCCTCCAAAAGCAAAAGAAATAGAATATAGATTGTTGGAAAATAGAAATGAAGAGAAAAAACTTTCAATGGAAAGAGACACACTTTCAATTCATTTAAGGAAATGGGAAGCTTTGGAAAGTTTAGAATAAATGTTTTCAGTTTCTTTTTTTTTTTTTTTTTCTCTCAATATACAACTTCCTGACCCTCCCTCTCTTCTCTTTTTTTTTTTTTTTTTTTTTTTTTTTTTTTTTGTTTTTTTTTTTTGTTGCTCGTTCTATGTTAGCGTGTGTTTTGTATACTGTTGTACATGTTATGTGTTTAAATGTTGTGTGGGGTGGGGGGGGGGGGGTAGTAGGTGTTTTGTAGCTTTTTCCCTTTTTTATATATATAATTTTTTTTTTGTCTCCAAAGGAAAATGAAGAGGTGTAACTTTTGTATGTAAATGTAAAAGATCATTGGTAAATTTATAAAGACCTATGTTAAATTATTTTGTTATTTGGTATCCAATGTATTATGTTATAAATGTACAATTTTCTTTGAGAGAAACGAATAAAAACCTATGAAAAAAAAGAAAAAGTTATTGCTTCAAGCTCATCACACGTGAAAAAAAAAAAAAATACATAATGAGCCCTGTGACCTTTGACCTTTGACCTACGTGCTCCAAAATGTAATCAGATTGTTTTCCTATAGTGATACACACTATCACTAATGCAAGGGTCACTCTGTGGCCTGGACCCACCCTCCTCAGAGGTCGCCAAATATCGACGTCGACTCGACGCCTAAGCCTGACCCTGACCTATTTGTTGTTGTAGTGAAGTCCTAACGTTCGTTTTTCTTCATTGGGTGAAGCTTTACTATACAAATTGATGAAATGTGTGAAGCTTTGACGAGTAATTTGTTTTTTCTGGTGATGTGACATCGAATCCAATCGGTCGCCTTGTTTGTTCAGGTGATGTGACATCGAAGCCACTACCGGTCGCGTCGAAAATATGTCGAAATCATGTCGAAATCGTGCGTTTCAAAACAACTATTTAATTTTTATTCCGGTCACTCATGCACTCGCAGAGTGATCGTCCTGAGGTCACTGAACTTTTCTCCAGCGAAACTGATTTCGAGATTTCACGAGATCGTTTTCGAGTAGTCTACTAGTCTCCTACACACATAGAGATATCTCTATGCCTACACATAACTAGTTGCGTGAGTATTCGCAGTATACGTGTTTGAAAGGCCAGCCTCAAGTCTGGAAACGAGACTAGTAGCCTACGAGCTGTCGGTATTGTACCCAGCATGCGCAGCGCAGATCGTGCCAAGTTTTGGCCCCAAGTTTTTGCGAGTTGAGTTGAAAAAAAAATAGAAAGTTCAGAGTTTTCCGATCATTTTGAGACGGTACTACTCCGACCCTGTTTTACGATTGATTATTAACGAAATCTGTGCATAAAACTTAGCCTATATTTTCGCGAGATTTCAATGTTGACGTATTCCACAAAGGTATTACGCCACAGCAGTGCCGTGCGCTCGAGTCGCCGAAGCCTTACGAATTCTGCGGATATGCACTGTATACTATGTACGTTTGTGATGGTTTGTGTTAGTCGTGTATTGTTTGTTGTAAACATCTTCATCAATCCATGTTTGTCATTATTTTTATAGTGTAGTTTTAATGAACACAATGTCAAAATCTAACAACGCAAACCTGAAATTTGTCTGGAATGAACATTTTCTTTCATTTCCAAGTAACAGAGTTTAATAGGTAATAGGAGTTAGTGTTTATAGTTAACAAGAGTTAGTATTAGAAAACAAGACTTGTAGTTAAAACAACTTTTGTATAAACGTTTTAAGTTTCATAACAACATATCTGTAGAAACATTGGATTGACAAAATAAACATGTTACTGTATCTTTGAATTGAAACCTGGTTGACTTGGTACTTATTGAGCAGTATGGAATTACTATCATGACTATAGACCATTGCAGTCATGGTCTACTATTATAAGTAAACATTGGTGGAGCTTGATTTCAAAACGTGAAGCTTGAAATATGTAATGGCCAATATGGTGAAACAGTGGTGAAGCTTGAACTATGCAAATGGCCAGTATGGTGAAACAGTGGTGAAGCTTCAGACCGGCCGAAAACTTACAAAAGTGAAGCCTCACCTATGGAAAACTGACACAAGTGAAGCCTCACCTATGGAAAACTGACACAAGTGAAGCCTCACCTATGTAAAACTGACAAAAGTGAAGCATCACCTATGCAAATAATTCAAAGGGTGAAGCCTGGACTAACACATTTGCTGATAAGAGTGATGCTTTGCCTTTGTTTTTTGTAAAGCACATGAAGTGATGGTGAAACCCTGAGGTTACAAATAATTGGCTCAGGTGAAGAAAGGTGATGACCTGAGGAGGGTGGGTCCAGGCCACAGAGTGACCCTTGCATAAGTTTGAAGTTTAAATCTCCAGTGGTTCTTGAGATATCATGATAACAATCTCAATGTATGGAATTTCATAAGTTGACCTCTGTGACCCTTGACCTTTGACATACGTGCTCCAAAATCTAATCAGATCGTCTTCCTATGGTGATACATACTATCCTTAAGTTTTAAGTTTAAATCTCAAATGGTTCTTGAGATATCGCGCTAACAAACTCAATACAAGGAATTTCATAAGTTGACCTCTGTGACCTGTGACCTTTGACCTACGTACTCCAAAATCTAATCAGATCGTCTTCCTATGGTGATAAATACTATTCCCGAGTCTTAAGTTTAAATCTTAAATGGTTCTTGAGATATTGTGATAACGGTCAAACGGGACGGACGGACGGACGTACGGACGGACGTACGGACGGACAACCAGAAAACATGATGCCTCCGGCACCACCTTCGGTGGCGGAGGCATAAAAATAATGCACGGTCACATGATCCATTTTGACGCTTCTCATACGCTACACTCTTGAACCTATTTTATAATCAACACTAACTTCCAATACGTCCATCAGAACTGCGCAGTACCAAACGTCCATGTCCAGGAGAAGGAAAGTTTTAGAGGGCTCACCAAAGTTTAAACATGTTGTTTTACCATCGTCTTTAGAATCGTTGAATTATTAATTATGACATTGTGATTAAAATATGAAGTTAATACGATAACAAGCCAAAAAGCATATTTACGAGAAACTGAAACCTAATTTCTTCAAATACGTTATATGGGAAATGGCAGTGTATGAAAGTCATCTGGAAGTGACAATGCAAGATGTTACCAAGTTAAGATGGGGTGTGTATCAATGCAAAGGGCGTATACTCCAAAGTTGTTTCTTGCAACTATCATACAAATACCTCAAGTTATCTTCAAAATTTTAATCTGCTATTTTAGAAGTAATGTGTGGACTTTTTAATCCTCCTATCTCATGAGAGGGTCTACAGTATTTTTGATATACTTTAAGTTTTAGTCTGACCCATTTTTCCTCAAAATTATATGCTGCTTCACATCATTACTCTTGTCATAATATTTCTGTTGTACTAGTCGTACGTAAGACTAACAAAATATTAAAAATCTGTGAACCTTTTGTCGAAAGTATTGACTAAGGGCAAATTTGCCCAGCACTATTATACAAATGATGCATGCGCATGAGTTCATTATACGATCTATCCGCACTCGAGTTGAGGCTGTGTGTATCTATGGCACGAAGCCCTTAGGCTGAGTGCGATAGATACACACAGCATCAACGAGGGCGGATAGATCGTATAATAAACGAATGAAAACATGCATCATTTGTTTTATACAACGAAACTCCTAGATCCTTGTTATTTGATGTAAAAAGAATTCATTTAAGATTGTTTCGTGACAGTAATAAATCTCAAGTTTAATAAGGCTTAATTTAGTGCGCACACATAGCTATAGATATAGCAAGCACACTAATTACCTATATACCCATTTACGCATAGTGCTGCGCAAGAATAGACTCATGCTCACGCAGTATTAAGCGCTGTAACCTCTACGCGCAATACTGCGCTCTGAAAACGAGTTCAATAGTACTGGAAAATATTACACTCCTTTTCATAAAAACAAGTGCAATAGGCTCAGTAAATGAATCACACGTGACCGCGCATGACCAATCATTTGATTAGGATCTGGGAGTGAGTTGTATAAAGGCCTATTGTACACCCCATCTCTTATAATCATCAATGACAAAAGTTTTGAAGCATACCTGACGATGCAGCATTGACGATAACAACAAGTAATGAGCCTAGGTAGCTTCCTAGACCAGTAGTCATCAGGAACAGCCCCATGACCACACCCTGCATGGAGTCAGGTGACTGTGAGTATGCAAACTCAAGACCTGTAAGGATGACATAGAGTAAAACAAGTTTAATAACAAAGACTGCATCTCTAATATGCCTCCGCCTTTATGTACATTAACTGATCAAATGATCCTTGTGATCTCTAACATCTAACATCACTAAATTAATAATACCGGTAATAATAATTCAATGTTTTTGACTGAATGCTTTTCCTTTATTTTGTGAAAGTTTTTTTACTGTACTTAGGCCAATTTAGGTAGACATTGGTTCATTTGAGGGTTAAATTATCATGGAAAATAAATTTATTACACTTTTACAACTTTCTGACCTTTGTCCTCTAACATCTAAAATCTAATCAGTTCATCCTTGCATGCCCATAGATTCTTTACCCAAGTTTGGTCAAAATACACTCAATGGATCTCAAGTTATGACAGTAACAAAAAGCAGGATGGATGGACGGACAGACAGACAACATAAAAAAATATTGCGTGCGGCATCTCCTTTGGTGACAGCGGCATAAAAAATAGCCAAGGCTGTTACCCACTAGCCTCTTTAAAATGCATTGATAAGGGACACTGTGCTAGGGGAAGAGTGGGGTTGGTACTAGTCTCACTAGGTATCACATAAGGCTTCTTTCAATCACCCTATGGCATTCTGTCTGAGCATTGAAATCATAAATAGACAAGTAGTGGCTCAGTCAACTATACCAAGAGTACTAGCAATCAGCTAGCATGAAATGACTAAAGAGCAAAAGAACAAACTTTAAAGGTAAAGACCAGTTATGGTCATGCGATTGCATTGTGAAAGAAACGTTGTGGAATCGATCAGAAAAGGTTGATCATGTAGCATAATGTATTGGTGTGTACTGCAAGGTTCTGGAATCATCAAAATAATAAGAAATTTGGCCCAGTCTTGGTAAAGTTACAAGCACTGTACACAGAAAGATGTATATGGGACTCCACGACACGTACACGATATCTATCAGGTCCAAATAGATATAATAATTTACCAAATATATCAATTAGTAGGCGATTTCTTGGCAAAATTTGTATCATCACGTATTAGTCAAAACATATTCTTTCACATGATTGGTAATAAGAGCTTCCATTTCATTTTTTGAGAGGGGGGCGTTTCCAAAACTGGTCTTGTACATGTACCTTTAAGAATAACACTTAAATCTGTTTCTTAGGCATGGGTCAACATTAGCATTTCTCACAGGGTTAAAATTATCAAGGCCTGTATGCATGGTCTAGGCTGTTTGAGCTTAGGTATTAATTTTCCCAATTTTGGGAGTTCAACATTAGAATGAGGGCACCCTCGTACTCTGGAACCCTGTTTATGTTGAGCCTTGCCTCAGATTAAAGCACATCTGTACTAGTGTACAGGAGGGATTATACAACCCTGAAAGGTCACTGGACAGGTGGTTATCTCATCAAATCAGCTCTCAATTAACATAAGAAAAAGAGGATCATGGGGGACCAATGGTCACCGATTGTTTGTTACATAAAGGGAGCAAGTAGCTACAAGTAGTACAGTGGGCCTTTAAGCTTATTTTACCTGTAATGCTCGTGAACACTTCACTTGCACCGATTAATGTATACTGTGGAATCTGGGCAAAGACGCTGACATCTGATGAGTTGTAGGTGTCTCCTGCGATTGTTTGGAGTATATAGCCCCCATCTCTCATGACGTTCTTCCTGCATATCTCTACTATAGCTGCAACAACCATGGAGCCTGAAGCAAAGACCATCCCGATTCCTACATCGAGTGAGAGGAGGGAGCAGGAAAAGGAGGTTAGTTTATCAATGAGCCTAACAACCTGGGGGTGTTTCACATAGAACCTAAGTTGAACTTATCACTAAAAATTATGAAAAGCTGTTAGCAGCATTGAAAATATTATGTAAAAGTTATTTTAAAAAGCATTAAATGTTAATTCATATTTTCTATTATCAAGGAGATTTCATGTTTTTGATGTATAATTTACGACAAGTCTGAAATACTTAAATTTGAAGTTGGGGGTGCGTCTTATACACAGGTACACAAAAAAAAATTAAAAAATTAAAGTTTCGATTTATGCCCCTCCACCCGGCGCTATGCCTGGCAATGTCTCCCAGCTCATTAACCTGTGTGTTGACTCACCACTCGGAAACTACAACAACACTCAAATTTGTCTGTCATCTTGGTTTGAAATTAATCTTTGTAATAGATCTCAATAGTAGTTTATAATAATAATTCCTCAAATTTTTCTTCTATTACACATGGCGTACCACAAGGTTCTATCCTAGGTACTCTTAATTTACATTAATGATCTTACACATTCATCTCAAAACGACATTGTTACTATTATTTGTGACAAGTTCACAAGCACAAATCGGCGCCTTCAACTCCACCTCGATGTTAAATGAAAGTCCTTCCCCGCATGGGTTTTCGGCAACAAAACAACAACAAATAAAAAAAATTAAAAAATAGGTGCGCCTTATCACGGAGATTAACGGTACATGTGTGTGAGTGCATAAAGTGAAGATGCATTGAACGCATGTTAAGTCGCAATTAGATGACAATTATTAAGCTCATTATCTAGCTTGTTGTTACTGTACTTAAACGAGTCCAATACATAAATGCAACAGGTAAATATCTTGCCAAAGGATATTAGTGCCGTGTCGGGATTCAAACCCTCCACCTGCGCATCTCCAGTCAAGCGCCTTAAACCACTCGACCACGACACTCAACATACCCAAACAGCATAATGTGCATCACAGCGTGTGATTCTATGTAATTGCCATATGATATTAGGTGCTTTTCTTGTGTCTTAACTTTGTATGCTCAAATGGCACACCTATGCGGATCTTAACCATGCATTATCACTTTTTGCCATGCGTTTATCACTTATTAATGGAGAATGTTTTTATATGGTCATGACCGTAGGCAACAAAACTGCATGGTTGCATGATGTAAATTTGACCAATTAGATAACCTAAATTCAAGAACCTATTTTAAGATACATTACTAGTACGTTGTGAAACATTTTTAACAGCAAGTCTCTTGAATACTGGTGCTAATACTAATTTTCCAAAACTGTTATTGTCAAAGGTTTAACTTTGGCTAATCTTGTAAATAGTCAGCTTTGCAAAAGTTTCATTGCAAAAAAAAATTGCCTCCCAACAATGAAAATAATAATAACTTCTTCTTATATAGCGCTTTTCATATGAGATTTATATCAAAGCGCTTTACAATTTTGATACAAGTAAAACTAAACAGAGAAATGACAGGAGAACAAAAGTGAAGTAATCAAACATAAGATAAATAACACTAATTTTCGGTAATTCACAGAATTTTTATGCCATGATCGCAATGGTTAAAATATTATGCTCCTGATTTTATACTTTACAATAAGATAAGAACTTGCCTATTCTCTTCAGCATTGACAACCTCAGGCCGTGCCTTTCAAAGCAGGGGTAGACAAATTGGTCCATAATGGGTATAAGAATGAGGATGATGATCACATTGAAGAGGTTGAGGGCAGCAACAGGTATAGTGAATCCTCCATAATCCAGTCTCATCCTCATCCCTTGCAGCACATAGGTGGAAGACATCTATGCAAATGAGATGGGTTTGCTTAATATTAAAGATAAACTTGAGTTCTGGTTAAAAAAAAAGAAAATGAATTCTCACAGAATCAAACAAAACTTACACTAAATGTTCAAGATAAAAATAAATAGATAGATACAAATAAATGTCACTTGCCAAACAATCTTGGTAGAAAATGTATACTGGCTGATTAATGAGCATAGAAAGATAAGGCATAGAAAGAAGCATATGCATTTTATATAAATTAAAGTATTATTTATCACAAAAGTCACTATTTATGCTTTACAATTCCTTCATTTTGTCATACATATCTTTTGTAACATAGTGTGGGGTAATAGTAGTAAGATGAAAATTACATTAATATATCGTCTCCAAAAGAAAGCACTTCGTCTTTGTACACATTCACATTATTTAGCCCATACTGATCCAATATTTTGTAAACTAAAAACATTAACAATCGCTGACATTCAGTCTTCAAACTGCAATCTTTATGAATAAATTTTGGATAAATACCATACCTTTAGCATTACGAAAATTGTTTGTTTACAATAGTGATGTACATTCTTATCCGACGCGACACTCATCCGATTTCCACTTAACCAACCCCAAAATTATTATGGCTTATAAATTGATAAGACATCATGGTCCACACATTTGGAATGCTTTACCTGACGATATTAAATACTCTGCAACTCTTTATTCATTCAAAGCATCAATGAAAAAATATTTAATATTTACATATTCAAAAACAGTCTCAGAGGTTTTAATTGTTTGTTTATATAAATTAATTTTAGATGACCAGTTCATTAACAATACGAATTGAACACTTACTTCACCTGCACACACCCACTTGCACACACTTCCACAACTTTTTTCTTTCTTTAATTTCTTTCCACTTTTTATTCAGATACTTTCTAAACAAATTGTTTATACGTGACACTCTATTCCCCTACATACTCCTATAATAGCGGCATGTACCCCCCCCCCCCTTCCCGGCTGCTATCGACTCAAGCATTCTTGCTTATGATAGTTGGCCTCTGCATTTATCTTGGTTATTTTTACTTACATCGATTCTTTCAAGCTTTCAATTATGCATTTTCTATTTGTGTGTATTTAAGTTGTCACTCTTTATGTAAATCAATTATATTATATACTATTATTGTCATTTGAATGTTTTATATTTGATTTATCAATAAATGCAGAAACATCTGATAAAAAAAAAAGGTTAGTAGCCCCGAAACCATTTGTGTATTCCCATATACATCTTTCTGTGTACAGTGCCTGTTACTTTACCAAGACTTGGCCAAATTTATTAATATTGTGATGACTCCAGAACCTTGCAGTACACACCAATACTTACATGCTACATGATCAACTTTTTCTGATCCATTCCACACTTTTTCTTCACAATGTAATCACATGACCAGAACTCAACTTTATCTTTAAATGATGGCAGTAATATAATAATAATAATAATAATAGTGGGTTCTTATGTATGTAGCATTGGCAAACATGGCATACATGTATGGCATTTTAAATCTATGTGTATATTATTACATACAATATCAGAATGGTATTCCAACTTTCATGCACTTTCAGATATTCCCCAGATCTAGATCTACAGACTGACCGCATATCCTGTTTCACTTGAGAAATATCTCTATATGTGATTCCTGAAAGAAAACCAGCCCTAGATCTAGTGGTCAATTGCTAAAAAGTACTGGTAGCATTATCTCCCCTGTTAGGAAAAAAGAAAATCTTAAGGCCTCCTCAGATATTACGCAATGAAATCCCATGCTTTTAATAACGGGTACAGGAATGGCAACTGTACGCAACAAATGTCCTACAAGTATTTATTTATCTCTGTATCATAATGAAATGTAAATTGTATTAGATGTACGCTATTATAAAAATAATACTATGGTTTACCACCTCATTTATGAATAAGGTTTAAAGGTACTACTGTATGTCCCATTTGCTGCAGCCCCCCCCCCCCCACCAAACAAAAAAGTTAAATTCCAACAGCATTTGAAAGATAATACTCATTTAGAACTTTTCTCAAAACAAAAGGGCTTGAAAATGTCTTTTTGTGGGGAAAAAATAATAAGCATTAGTTGTCGAATTGACTTTAGTAATTGCAATCTTTTTAGTAATAGTCTGATTTTCAGACCCTTGTACCGAATGGTCATACATTTTGTGCTGCACAAAGATTCAATCAGTTTAATTTTGGCCTTTACAAGAAGGTGGTAGTTGATGTAGACGAGTGCTCATCTACCCTGTACAGCTCATTTTGTGTATGTTATTACCAATTAAAAAAGAATTTAGTTACTCACTCAATAGTGTCAGAAAGTGAAGCCTAGAAAGTAAATGGGTTTCCTTGCATAATTTGAATACTAGGACACTGCTGACGTTTCAATTTCACAGATAGGACATACATGACATGTTCATAATTCATGCAAAGTTCAACAGAGTTTGATGTTGGCTGCAAAAGAAATACACTACCTGTAAAGGTAATACAAAGTTTTGGGAAATTGTGAAAATTGGGCAGATAGTGATTCTTTACAATTTTAATATACATGTATTTGGATGCCCCTGTGGGTGTATTATAAGCACTAGAAAATTAAGCCCCCAAAAACATTTCCGCTTTTGAGAAAAATTGAATATCCAAATTTACAAGTGCTCCTGGTAAATGTTGATAAATTTCAAATAGCGCCTACGGTCGTACAATGGCAGCTTCGACCATGAAAATCTCAGAATATGTAGTTGTGATATATAATTTCCAAACAGGAATAGCTAATCAGTCGATTTTAGTCAAGAAACATTGTTTTATAGCTGATCTTGACCTTGAGAGGGAGCTATACAACACAAAGAGTTTATAATTTACAATTTCATAATTTAAGACTTGATTTCAACCGCGACAATGATCACTGAATATTGTAGGATTTTATGCTTCCAATATGTTCATTTGAACCAAATTCATGACCCCATACCAAACTTTGTATTACAAAGAGGATACTAAATTACATCAAAAGTGATTTCCTTCATATAAAAAAATACCTGCACATGTATCTGCAAAACTACTCACACAAAACAACTCCACCAGACTCCTGACCCTTGACAACACCCATGTATGTCTGATCTGATTACAACCCCCCCCCCCCTCTCATTGTTGGGAATAAATACCCTATTAAACAGATTAGTTGTCCAAGGAAAGTTGGCTTACATGGTTCTTTTAAGGTATCCAAAGGTGGTAGACTAAGGGAGTTATGTAGTAGTCCAAGGGATGGTCATTCAGGATTTAAATGTGTCTGTCATAGTAAAGGAAATGTCATGCCTACTACCAAATATTGGTTGAAAACCACCTTTGAAATCTTGAAAATATATCAATGCTTCTCTTTTCTTCACCTGGATATAAATGGTCCAGTAGATGATGATGGGTATAAAGACCGGTATGACACGCCCCAGAGACTTCACGTCATCCACCTCCTGATCCTGGTATTGCCCCCCTTTTGAGACCTTGGTCCTATCCAGGCAGCTATCTAGGTCTTCTTCACCTGGGTCAGGGTGCGTGCATTTCCTTGCTCCATCGTATGTTATTTTGACCACTTTTGTCAGCACGCTACCTGCACGAGGACAACAATAAAAAGACACTTACTAGGGTTTACAATATGATTTAGGTTACAACTGGGACATGTATTCATGTCACAACTTAAAATCAGATGTACATGTTTCAGTATAGCAGCTCAGACTACAGTCAGAGTAATGATATGATACTTTGCATTAAGCATGAGTCAATGTATATAATTTAAATAGCTACGCTTTTTATATAAAGTGCAGCTACAATACTAAATGAAAAATGGATTATTAATTAACCATTTTAAACACTTCAAGACAACAGTGAAAATGAAACTTGGCAGGGTATGCAGCGCAGTTTAGATCACAACTACAGCCAGTATTCAAATTGCAGTGGAATATATTAAAATTCTACACACAGTAGGGCCAGAATTCCATTCAATATCTAATTCAGATATATATATATATACCAATGTTTGTAGAGGTGTTGTGGTCGAGTGGATACGTCGCCGGACTGTCGATCACAAGGTCCGCGGTTCGAGTCCCGCCGCCGCACTAATGTCCTTTGGCAAGATATTGATCTACATTTGCCACACTCCACCCAGGTGAAGTAAATGGGTACCTGGTAGGAATTTATTCCTTGAAATGCTAGAGCGCTATAATGGCAGCACAGCTAAAGCCAGGGTAATAATATCCAAGTTTGGAAGCGCTTAGAGACTTATTGTGATTTGCGCTATATAAAAGCTGAATATTATTATTTATTATTTAATCTCATTTGGCCTTAGATGAAATATTTTGTAGTAAAAATTGGTATTGTTGTATCTCTTGGTATTTTTTGTACATTGTATGTTCTCATGTGGTCATACAGGGTAATTAAGATAACCGCATTCCAAGAAGCATAATAATTACAAAAACAAGGTGTTCCATATGCACATTTATTTCTAGATGGCCGAGGCCAAAAAAACAAAAACAAAATGAGGGAAAGAACAACAAAAAAAACATCATGTCAAAACGGATAACAAGACAATTAACTTACAGGAAGTTCGGCGCTGACAAATTGATTTCCTGAATTGCTTCAAGGATATTATGATTTTTTTTCTTCTCTCTCTCGATGTTTTGGAACGCTTGTGTCTAAATAACTATTTATATTTATACAGGGCCCTTATGAAGAACATTTTCTTGTACACTTAAGGGCCATCCTGTTAAATAAAATGAAACTTTATTCATATCAAATCAAATCAAAACAAATTTGTATGCTGCTGTGTAACAAAGATGATGTTTCCGTCAATGTGACAATTACTTTTTTATTGTTCAATTAATAACTACTTAATATTTGTATATATATATATATATAGAAACTCAAAGTGGAATCCATTACAAAATAAAGCTTATCCCAAAATTTACTAAAATATGCTAGACACAATGTTCATTAAAGGCATCGTTTAGCAATGTTAAATCTGAGATGCACGGCCCTACGTGTTATCAGTGTCTGTGATATGGTGTAATATTGAAGCCCTAAACAAAATTGCTCTTCAAAATGATCAAGAAATGTGTCAAAAAAGGAAAAATCTTTGAGTGACCGGTTTTACCATACTCGTTTTCCCCAATAGACTGTAGTGTCAAGTTTATAATTCCAATCATAAATATCTTGATAATCAGACAGGCGATCGATCGGCTTGTAAAAAGTCATGGGGTTCCTGACTGATCTACAGGTTTAAAATTATCATTGCAGCATGAGCTAAATCCAGGGTTTTGTTTCAGAATCTGAGACAAAGTTACCAGATCCCTTTAAAATTAGAGAGGCTTTAACCATGTATGACAGGGGTGGAGGAGCATGTTAGTTGTTACCTTCAGGCGGCTTCATCAAGTACTTGCTGCGACTGAGAGCAAGGATGATCAACGATAGGAGGATAGAGACGGCTGGGATGGTAAAACCAACATCAAAACCAACCTCCTGTTGAACATAGACGACTGCAGAGTAGGCGATTCCTGAACCAACGTTGATGAACCAGTAAAACCTTCGAAAAAAAGAAAATTTGTGAGAGGAACTGTTATTTTAAAGTAATAATGCCAATATTATACAAGATACAAGATATTTTATTTGGTCTTTGCAAACAAGTTACATAGCATTTTATTTTGTTTTCCACTGGCGTTACAGTAATATTCAAGAAAATACATAATTACAAGAAATGAATACATCACGTTTATAGAATGAAATAGATGAAATAATGAACAAATACATGCAAAAGATAATGAAACGACAAAAATGGTCATTAGTACTTCAAATCATGAGTTTCAAAATTAAGCCTTGGTCATTGGTATTTCAAATCATAATAGTTTCAGTATTAATTAATTTCCGACGCAGAAGTTTAACGTTTAACCTGTGAGTTGAATTTATGAACAGAGTCGGGTACAAATGAATATCTGAATCCTGAAAGGCGGGTTGGGGTGGGGCAAATATAATAATATAATAATAATCTGTTGCTCTATTATTCACCACAGAATCTTAAATTCTGGATTATCCCTGCTCTATCTAGGTTAATGATTTCAGTGTTCAAATCATTATGGAATGTATAATAGAGGCCGCAGGTAATGGTAAAACCAAAACTAAAATCAATCTCTTGTTTCCACATCCATTGTTGATCATCATTATCGTTTTGCTGGTGTAGAAAGTCATCCCCCCCCCCAAAAAAAAATTGTAATTAATGTAATGAACCTTGTACAGTATTTCTTTGCTTATGCACAGCTCACACCGACGCCGAATGTCGCGCTTTAAATCGGCAATCAATTCGGCGTCATTTTTGTTTACTTTTCAAAAAATCTCACGATCTCCTCAGATATGTTATGCTCTGATATCTTAACAAAGCGTGTCAATTGGTGACAGAGCGTACAAAGTGGGGTCACCGCTTTGAACCAAGCTCTGTTAAACTCTGTTAAGCTTTCCTACGCTTTGAGCAAAACTTTGATAAGCTTTGTGACGCTTTGATAAGCTCTAATACGCTCTCCCCGCTTTATGCAACTCGCCTCAAATTTTCAAACAGTTTAAAAATTTTTGGCGCTCTTGCCGAATGTCCCGAATTACTCAAAGCTTTCTCACGCTCTATTACAGTCTTTACGCTTTAATTAAGCTTTGTTACGCTTTGCCGCCGCTTTGCTCGCCAATTTAATTCGCCATCAATTCGGCATCGGTGCGAACTTAGTATTACACTTACAGTCTGAATTTGGAGTGAAAAACAGATGCCCAAGAATTCTGATGGCCTTAAATTGCACAAAAACATTCTGACATACACTACATGTATTTTTTTCTCAGGTCAGCGTATATTTCATTATCAGAATTCTAGATAACCATTACATTGTTTCATTGTTGCCAAAAAGAATATAATATCCTGATATATTATCTGAGGTTTTGAAACATACATTCAGTATGAAAACTGAAACTGAAAATTTTGGTAACACCATCATGTGATTGTATTGAAGATTGTTTGAGTACAATACGTGTACAATAGTTCATATATAAAGCTAAATATGACACACTTCCTTATCAGTGTTTCATGCTTAAGTACATTGTATTATCATTACGCTACCTGGTATGTACTTTTAAAAGGTCATATTTGGGTGCATGCTGATCATCATGTGCTAAGAGTCTACACACGAGACTTTGGGAAAACCCATCAACCTAATTGTGATTATATAGCGTTTGATCATTCAAGAATCAAAGATCAAAGCTATAAAATCTGTAGTTACAAGAAAAAGGGGACCATGGGGGACCAATGGTAACTGATAAGGCATTGTTTGCTATATAGAGGGGCTTTAAACAAATATTTGATGACAATGACTTTATTATGAATTTCATTTATTTATTAATTTTATTTTTTAATAGAGCCCTTATCAGTTACTTAAAACTCTTTAAGAGCTGCCTACAGCTAGACCTCCATGCTCCTGTGTTACTGTCGTTGTTTTTTACATGGGGGAAGCTATGAATAATTGAATACAAACTACACAATACATGTCATGTACATGTGGCAAATAAGTTGTATTTTTGGTTTAAGATTGTCAAGTTCTTACACAATATGGGTACCCTAGCTACCTTCAATACGATCATACTACAAACAACTAGTTTCATATGATTGTACGACAAATGCTGCTTTCCCAATCGCTCGGTGGTCAATTTCTTATCAGTCAACCCAAACAATTTGGTTAGTTATTAAAAAGTCAACATTCAGATGAGATTAAGAGACAGAATTACATTCATATTTGAATAATGTAGAAGCCCCTAACCCTACATCTGTGACAAAATAAAGCCTGAAGCAAAAGTCACTCAAGAAAGTTATCTTGCATCACCATATCAAAGCTGTGCACTAGCTGACAAACATACCAATTGAAAAATGTCTGCACTGCTCCAGGGCCAAGGTCCTCCATCTGCTGCGCCCCGAACGGACCCACGTTGGACTTGATACCTCCCGTTCCTATGGCGATGAGCATCAGACCAAACATGAAGAAGCCCTGCTTCTGAGACACAGTGAGGCCCGCGTCACCCTCACCCAGGTCCTCATAGTGGATAGAGATGAGAGGTAGAGTTACGGCACCTATTAAAGATTGCATTGTGAAAGAAACAGTGTGGAATCGAACAGATAAGGTTGATCATCTAGCATATAAGTATTGGTGTATACTGAAAGGTTCTGGAATCATCAAAATGATAAGAAATTTAGCCCAGTCTTGATAAAGTTACAAGCACTGTACACAGAAAGATGTTTATGGGACAACGCGACACGTGCGTGACATGTGCGTTATATCTATCAGGTCCAAATAGATATAATAATTTACTAAATATATCAATTAGCAGGCGGTTTCTCTGCAAAAATTTGTATGATCATGTATTAGTCAAAACATATTCTTTCACATGATTGGTAAGAAGAGCTTCCATTTCATTTTTTAAGAGGGGGGGGGGGGGGGGGAGGGGACGTTTCCAAAACTGGTCTTTACCTTTAAACAACGTATTTACAATGGTTTACAGTACAACCATGTGGTACATGTAGTATGCTTGAAAGGTGAAAGATCTCTGATGTATTGTGTTTTCAAAAGAACATGCTAATTGGGTACTTTGAGAAATTGTGAAAAATAATAGTATGGGATGGAAAAGGAATTATATTAGATTGAACTGAATATTGAACTGAATTGAATATTCAGAATGTTCCCTCATGATTTTGACAATATGTAATTATGTATGTAAATCATATCCTTTCACACATATTGAAGAGGCAATGAGCTTGGGGTACAAAATTCTGGAGCATTTATGACATTTACCACTATTTTTCCCCCAAAATCTTGGTCAAATGTTTACAAAGGAAAACTTTAAAATATTTGTTGGCCTACATGTACATGTAATACATGCACATACATAAACACATCATCTTTGTGTCCTTGTGATTTTTTCCACATATTCTTGTAATACAATGGTTGAATACTTGCCAACAAAATAGATAAGTAGGCTGCCATAGATTGTGTTGTATTTCCCTGCGAATGAGTCGGCAATCCAGCCTCCAAATATAGGCACAAAATAAGATGTCCCAGAAAAGGCTGCCACTATGACTGCTGCTGTGGCACTGGAGTACCCCAGCTCATTGGTACAGAATATAATCAGGTTACCAATAATGCTGTAATAGGTCAAGCGTTCACAAAGCTCACAGAAAAGGATACAGAGAATGACCCTGACCCGACCACTTTTGAAAAAGCTGACTGGTGTTGGAGACAGCTCTTGGCTGTCGAGTAAGATTTTCTCTTCATCTACTAGGGAGGCCATAGCATCTAATGTCTCATTTCTGTAACTGGAAGAGGAAAATGATTCAAAATAAAAGGATGATTGTTTTACCTGACTGCTAAGAAAGCCTGTGGACGCTTTTAAAGATATAGCTGAGTTCTGGTCATGGGATTGTATTGTGAAATATGAAACATGAAAATGCTCACAAATTATTTTTCACCTCTCCCAAGAACTCGGCTTTCTCTTTAAGAAAGCGACCAGGGAATTAATGACCGAAAGTGCAAGTCCGGCCTATTGCCAGTTGAATCGAACGAATAGAGAAGAAAAAGAAGTTTCATCAGAATTGGAGGAAAATTAAGAATGTTATGGAATGTCAAAGTTTGCATAATTTCATGAAACAGTGATACATGTATGTATCACATAGCCTGTATTTATTTTATTCAATTCAATTTGCAAATGGGTTTGAATTACTTTTGTTGCCCTTTTAGTACTCTCCGGAAAAAAATTGGGGAGAGGTGGTCGATTAAACCTTCAACTGGATCCGCCACTGTTTCTGAGTCTAAAAAAACAGATTCTGCAATAATACTCCATGATGCTTATCATGCAGGTATCGATTACGCAGCACAGCTGTACTGCGTAATCGATACATGCACAGAGACTTTCACGTTATGAACGATAAATCCTCTGGAAGACAGACACCTCGTACAAGTAGACAGTGAACTGGTGATATTTTATTACGCGGAGTCCGTTTTTCACATTGCCAGCGCGCAGATCAGGAACCATACACCGCAGAGCGCTGAAGTATAAAGGACGATCCTTAATTTTTAGGGCCCGATTTGTCTGCGTTTTACGAAGATATCCACGTTTACGCAGACGATCCTTATTCTCGGACCAGCGCTCCTACTATTTGCAGCTTTACTTTCACCAGTTTTTAGAAAATTTCAGCAAAGCCAAAACGGCTGAATAACCCCATTTCGAGTGTTTATAAAGATCACCACATGCCTGAATAAGGTCTGTCCCCAGACGTAAATAATGATATCTGATTGATACACTTCTATAAAAACCAATTACACACACATATTATAGGCGAATCAGAAGCACCGATTTGCCTCTTCTCCCCGCTCTAGCTAGCTCTACTCTAGACCGAAAGCTTCAGTCTCTATAATCGTCGGTTGTTCCACTGAGACTACGTCTGGCTCCACTAGACCTCCGGTTATAGAGACTGAACGACTGCCTATGCCAGCCTGTGTTGAACTTATTCCGCTAGATTTTAGCCGCTAGGCCCCTCCCACAAACTTGCCACGGCCGTATTGTTATGCCCCCAAAATCCCCCAAAATGTCATTTTACCTCGTTCATTTCCAATTTTAAATTAGGCCTAGGCTATAATACATCGGTTCCACTTACTAACTTGATTGATATAATCCGTTTAATGGTCCCTTTTAAGGAAATTATCGGTCAAAATCGACATCCATGTTGAAAATCTTGCAAGCCGTGTTAAACTCTCGCTGCCGTCAATCTCATCCGTTCTAGTCTACGCCGAAGGCAAAATGATTATGAAGGAAAAACTGTAATAACGCCATTACGAACGTGTAGATGGCGCACAGTTTTTCCTTCATAATCATTTTGCCTTCGGCGTAGACTAGAAGGGATGAGATTGACGGCAGCGAGAGTTAAACACGGCTTGCAAGATTTTCAACATGGATGTCGATTTTGACCGATAATTTCCTTAAAAGGGACCATTAAACGGATTATATCAATGAAGTTAGTAAGTGGAACCGATGTATTATAGCCTAGGCCTAATTTAAAATTGGAAATGAACGAGGTAAAATGACATTTTGGGGGATTTTGGGGGCATAACAATACGGCCGTGGCAAGTTTGTGGGAGGGGCCTAGCGGCTAAAATCTAGCGGAATAAGTTCAACACAGGCTGGCATAGGCAGTCGTTCAGTCTCTATAACCGGAGGTCTAGTGGAGCCAGACGTAGTCTCAGTGGAACAACCGACGATTATAGAGACTGAAGCTTTCGGTCTAGCTCTACTCTAGACCGAATTTTCCGTCTCTTTCGTTCGTTAGCCTCTTATTGGGGTAGGGTCGGCTCTCTCTTTAGAGACGGAAGCCGTTTATACACATGTCCTTGCTAACGCCACGGCCAGTTCTGGTCGTAGCGTTTTGCCCCCAAAATCCCCCAAAATGTCATTTTACCTCGAGCATGTTATATTGTAAATTAGGCCTAGGCTATAATAAATCAGTTCCACTTACCAACTTGACTGAAATAATCAGTTTAATAGTCCCTTTTTAGGAAATTATGGGTCAAAATCGAAATCCATTTTGAAAATCTTTTTCAACATGGATTCCGATTTTGACCCATAATTTCCTAAAAAGGGACCATTAAACTGATTATTTCAGTCAAGTTGGTAAGTGGAACTGATTTATTATAGCCTAGGCCTAATTTACAATATAACATGCTCGAGGTAAAATGACATTTTGGGGGATTTTGGGGGCAAAACGCTACGACCAGAACTGGCCGTGGCGTTAGCAAGGACATGTGTATAAACGGCTTCCGTCTCTAAAGAGAGAGCCGACCCTACCCCAATAAGAGGCTAACGAACGAAAGAGACGGAAAATTCGGTCTAGCTCTACTCTAGATCTAGCGACTTTCTCATCCCCCGATAAAAAGATATCGCCGCGGCCGCCGCCCAACCCGCCTCGCACTGGGGGAGCTCAGACCACCGCACTGCACTGCACTGCGCCTAGAAATTCAGAATGACAGTTGACACATTCTGAAACAGCGGAAGCTGCAGTTTGTCAGCACTCAACAACCACATTTTTAGATATAATGCATTCAACACATGGCAGTACTATATAAGCTCACACATAGATCTACACGTTATTTTCATACAGAAAAGGAAAAGTGAACGCTAACCTGATTATAATTGCAACAATCTCCTTCTCAGCTCAGGTCAGTACAATGGATAAATTATGGTCGAAGCTCTGTTGCATTTGTTTGTATGGATAGTCTTTAAAATAGGCTGATATTATTTTGCTACTTACAACACAAGGTTTGAGCAAAAAGATGAATAATGTTTTTTGTTATTAGACTAAAAAAATTATGTTGTCATACTCATTATTCAAATTCAAGTTTTAAAAAATAGCTTTCTTTTAGAAATGGTATATTCTCCTGCAAAAAAATAATGAAAATATTCCCTCCTAGAATTGAGCCTAGGAACGTCAACATTGGCCATCACGTGCACCATCCCACCTGACTGATGTCAATACAACACATCCACCACAAGCATAACAAGTAAGATATCGTTTTGGTAAAATTTTGTGAAGTTCTTATTAACGCTGTTGTAAGAAGAGGTGAATGCTAGCTGTCTAATAAACACCAGATATGATGTAACATAATTACACAATATGTGATGAGAAATTGTTGTTTGTCAACTCAAGGCCCTGCCATCAGCAGCCATGCATGCAGTGCAGCTGCAGTGCCAAAGTAAAAGTGCTCTTACTCTTAGAGGTCTATATGCATGGTCATGATGCTGCTTGCTGACAAAGATGTATGTGGGATGTGTATATTGTCTAGGAATGGGAATATCAATAGTGTATGAAAATTGGAGACATCTCAAAGTCAAATGTTCTTTATAACAGGAAAAGAAAGAAGAAGAGGATCGAGAATTAGGAGAAGGTGAAGAAAAAAGGAGGAGGCCATGGGAAAGAAGAAGATATCGAAGAGGGATGATAATTATTTACCTTGATATGGATATATAATATGTATATTGAAACTAATTCATATTGCTTACATTTAGTCACTGCTTTTATGTCTTTTCCAGTTAGAATCACAAACAGACTTTTTTGTAGTTTTTTAGTCTCATCAGCGCCTTTGATTATAATAGGTAACTATAGATATTGGCGCTTTATATATACCTGGATTGGGTTGGATAGAGAAGCTGGCATAACTTGTCAGTATCTGAGTTAGCTCGACTCACAGAGGAGCTGCGATATACACCACCAACTGTTGGCTTCTCATTGTTTCTAAGACACATATCCACAGACTTTTTCAAAGTTAGTTTCAAAGTGCACTTCTTTGATGGTGGATGGTCCATCTTGTGCATAAACACTGTTTACCGTATATGCCTCATTCTTCATTTCTGTCAACATTTGTATAGGTCAGGAAATTGTCTAATGTGTTGTTTTCTTCACTTGATTTGATATCAAACTTGTTCGGTAATACTTCACAGACAATAATAACATCTGGTTTATAACATTCAGCAAGTAAAGCTAATTAAAAGTAGTGCGAATGTATGAGACGCGCTACAAACTCATCCAATTTGTTTAATAAGATGTCACTATTTGTATAAGACTCCTAGACCTTTGATCACTTTATTGGTTGTTTATTTTTTATTACAGTTTTTGTCTTCTGTCCTGCTGTCATCAAACTCACACTAGGCCTGTCTTCACTAGCTCGACTTATTGCCAAATATCCCGCTATTTGAACTATCCCGATCGCAAACTATCCAGCTTATTTGCGTCTTCATTAGCCCAGAGTTGCAATTAGCGGGATATTTGGTCAGGATTATCATCCCAAGATATCTTGGGATAGTTTGCAAAATATCCCACTATTTGGCAAAATATCCAGCTATTTGTCCGGTGCATCTTCAGTTCACCAGACCGAAGACTCGTACTATGCGCGAACGCTGAGCAAAAATATCTCGAGCTAATTTCTCAAGGTCGAGTTTCAAGTTTCGAGGTCGAATCTCGAGCTGATGAAGACGCAATTTGTTACTTCGGGATTCTTTCCCAAATCAGAAATAGCGAGCTATTTGGCAATCTCGAGATGATAAAGATGCGCCTACTCTTCAGCTGAAGTAGATGAATTTTCTTTATCAGTCTCCAATTCACCAACGGATTCTTCAGATTTTGCTTCAGACCATGTGAATGAATGTATCCTCTGCCAAAGAGACATTTACGTCTGATTCTTGATCAATGAAAGTCATGATTGATTTTTTATTATAAATTTATTGTTTTTTATTTTCACTTTCAGATTGATAAGCGATCACAAGTCCATCTACCTGAGCTGAGAAGCTGGCTTATAGATGATCAAACAGCATTGGCGGATAAAAGTTCTGATCTTACAAATTAAGGAGCAGTGACTAATCCAAGGCTATAGGGCTAGAATGGGTGTGGTGGCATCTAACTTCCAGGGGCACGATGGAGGGATTGTTTCTGAAATGGTACAACCATCAAGTGACCAGTGGATCACCAAGCATACCGAAGCTTGCAAGGGTAAGAAACACTGATAGATCTATCTGTACAAGGTTGTTTTAAAATAACCTTGTACCTTTAGATACCTTTTTAGATCCCTTGTTGACCTTACATTGCGAGACAAAGAAATATCACTAGCGATATTATCTTGGATACTACATCCGCAATGAGTAATATATTTAGCATTAACCTTGTACCTGTTAGAATAGGCTTCAATAGGTTATATTAGAGAGGAAAATTTTGTTCTAAAATTTCATTTTCAACAATGAAATCCCTAATGTGCATCAGAGTAAACGTAAAGAGTTCCTGAATCAGATAATGTAAGTAATTTAAATCCTCTTTATTTTTATTTCGTTGTTTCTGTATAGTGCAGGTGGGAATTTACAACACAGTCTCAACCCCATAAGTTAAGTCCCATAGCAACTCTTACTGAGGGATACCTAGGGAAGATACTGAATACTGCATATATTAGTCTGTATTCAGTTCCAGAGTTTGTTTCCTGGACCGTGCAAGTACAGGGGATTCAAAACCTTGAGTATTAATGGGTTCATTCTTCCTGCAACTATCTAGAAAACTTTGGAAACTGACATTATATAGGCCCATGCATTCATAACACAGAAATAATTAAGACTTTAACCGAGCTTCAAATCTTACTTCTTATGAATAAATCACGCCATCTACATATGTGTGAAGGGCTACTGGGGTTTTTTAATGACCATGTGAGATTTACAGTGACAAGATCTAGACAAAAATTTGATTTGCACCTTCATAACTTTGGTAGTGATAATTCTAAAATGCACGAAGTGGGACCATGTTTTAAAAATCAATTTGGAAGTCATTTGTACATATATATTTTTTTTTCTTCTTTTTTTACTACTTAAATTGTAGAGGTGTCGTGGTCGAGTGGTTAAGTCGCTGAACTGTCGATCACAAGGTCCACGGTTCAAAACCTGTCACGGCACTAATGTCCTTTGGCAAGACATTGATCTACATTTGCCACACTCAACCCAGGTGGTGTAAATGGGTACCTGGCAGGAATTAATTCTTTGAAATGCTAGAGCGCCGCATTGGCAGCACAGCTATAGCCGGGGTAATAATCTCCAACTTTGGAAGCGCTTAGTGATTCTAATAAGCGCTATATAAAAACTGAGTATTATTATTATTATTATTTTGGTTTGTTTTTGTTGTGTACAGTGACAGATGCTGAAGTAAAGAAGATGTGGGATGCATTCCAGAAGCTTGGATGTGGGATTAATGGAGAGCTATCAGCTGCTACCATCAAGTCTCTGAGCGTGAAGACGGGCAGTTCTAGTGAGAAGAGTTTCATTGACAAGGTACAAAGACCCCCCCCCCCCCCCCCCGCTCCCCAACAAAAACGGACCGATATAGTGGCATAGGGCCCCAGTGGGGTCACTCCCCCGCAGAGGGTGACACGTATGACCGTTACCACAAATGCAAATAACCCCCTTTTGCGGTCAATTTCAAGGACATTTTGTGAAATTTAACCCCCTTTTTTACGTCAAAACAAAGACAAAACCGTACTTTGGAATACCCCTATTTATAAGATTGTAAGGACATTTTCGCAAATTTACCCATATTTTACCATACTTAAGAACAAGACTCGGCTCCGAGAATTTTTTCTTCCTGTTTTTCCCTTTTCCTGACCCCTATTAATCAATTTTGAGGACACCTGTGCACCCCTATTTTCTATATTTCGAGGAATATTTTGTCCGCGGACATTGCTTGAATGAAATTGACCCCTTTTTACGCGATTTTGGTAACGGTCATGCGGTCCGGAAGTCGCATTGAGTGACCCCACCGGGCATAGGGCCGTATGCATAAAAGGTACTGTGTGTGCGTGTGTGTGTTTTGACTGCTGATGCTGGGAGGGGGTGGTGATTTGTAGAAAGGGATCAGTCCGTAATGTTTGACATGTATATGTTATTTGTACCATTTTGTGTGTGAAATGTGACCAATTTGTGAAATATATATTTAATATGAGACAATAAACTGAAACTGAAAATTGCTTGTGCTAATGTGCTAGCCTCATGCTTGAATCGGTATGCACAAATATGAGCAATTGCTGAAAAATTATGCATAAAATCAACCTTCTGTTTGTTCTTATTCAGCATGTGCTTACGTTTTTCCAAGCTCCATTATACAAGCTTGAGCTCTTGCTTAGTCAGAACATTCGCATTTAAGCATCATGTTCATGCTCATAACAGAAAAACCAAAGTTATACATCAGTAGAATAAAATCTAGAAGAACCTGCTCCTGAGACCTGTCAGTTCTCAGAAACTATTCCATTTCGATAAGAAGAATATTGATTGGTTAGCACACACCGATTCATACCTGAACATGATTAGAAACAGGGTGGATGTCTGCCACCAGTGGAGAGCATGGAGGCCAGGGGCCCGTTCCTAGAAACCGTCATAAGTCTAACTTCTTGACTATTCTATTGAAACGCGTGTTAATTCTATAACACACGTTTCAATGTGATAGTCAAGAAGTTAGACTTATGACGGTTTTTAGGAACGGGCCCCAGGCTCCATTATTAATAGAAACCTGCCTTTGTTCGCCCATAAATGGTGTGACTCTGATCATTGACAGGGGCACTGGCATAATGGGATGGGGGAGGTACAAATTAGTTTTTACTATGCTGATTTAAGAAGAGAGATGATTTATATAGAGTAAGGGAAGGAAGGGAGTTGTGTTGTATCATCTTCCTTACTTGGTGTTGGTGCCTTCCTCTTTTCTGTTTATTTACCTCTTTTTTTTCTTTCTTTTTTTTGGTTTTTTTGTTGTCATTTTCATTTTTTGGGGTTAAATTAGCTTTCCATAAAAAGGATCACAGAATAATGGAATGCCTATTGAAGCCTCACATCCTCTGTATTTATTCCAGTAGCCAGATGTGAATCCAGGATTATAGATCAGTGCATATATATCGGTGATCAGAAACATTTTATAATTCTTTTTAAGATGCAGATTCATTATTTCTGATGTCTTGATCATACAAAATGTTCATAAAATCCATGAATGTACTCATTTCTCTCCCATAACTACAGATATTGATGCAGTTTCCAAAGACAGAGAATGGATGTTTGTCTTTCCAGACATACTGCAATGCTATCAAGTGGTTCAGTGATAGCAACATAGAGACAAGAGTAAGAGGTAAATGAAATGATTTATCTTCATTTTATTTCAAAAGCAACATTTCCATCAGCTTCTGACTGCTCTACCATTATGCTTTAGACATAAGAAGGCTATAAACACAATTCTGGTAATCTTGGGTCATTCTATTTTGAAGGAAAAAATGACAGATGTATACTAAATTTTGATTTATCCCTTATAAAAATGAACCATGGTAACCATGTTTTTTTTGTCCAAATTACCATCCACCATAGTAATCATGGTATCAAACAATAACAATTTCTAACCTTTCACAAAATCCAATAAATTGTAGTGTTGACATCTGAAAAATCTGCAAAGCAGAATATATTTCCGTCTATGCCTTGAAAGTACAGGTATTAAAGCAGTCTCCCCAAGGCTGTAAAGTATTTAATATTGCATGATTTGACATGAACTTTTGAGGGTTTTTTAATTTTATGTCAATTTCTTCACTATAGGAGCTTTCCGTGTTCTAAACAATGCAAACGCCATCACACTAAATATCCTGACAGAGATCTTGAGGGAGATTTACACAGACACCAGTGAGGTAATTAATACATAGAAATATATGTTTCTGAAGAGTTCCTCTTATGGTTGTACGACACATGCTGTCTGCAGCAATTGCTCCCTGGTAATATCCTACACTAACCAATTCATAACTTCAACCCTGAACCCAACACTATACCTAACCCTAACCCTAGAGCTAACCTAATACCCAAGCGTGACCCTAATCCTAACTCTATGCTCTTGAAAAATTGTAATCTCAACCAATTCTTTGTCACCAGAGTAAATGTTGGATCACCTCTCATGCCTCATGCACACAAAGGAATTCAGCTTTGTCGATCATATGAGATGTGGGTGACCAGGGGGGTGTTTCACAAAGATCCTAAGCCGAACCTAACTCTAGGTTGGACTTAAATATTATGGAGAGCCATATGTAGCCTTAAAATAAAATATTCTCAAAAGTTGTTGTTGTTCTTCTTCTTGTGTTTTAAGGCTGACCAATGTAAAAGATTATTTCTGCCTGGCTGTGCTGTTTTTTTTAGTTGTTCATCACTGACGATTAGATGGCGCTGTTTCTTTTCATCTTCAGTGGGTATCATGTACTGTGCAGCTTCCGTTTTAAGTTAGTTTTTAGTGTTTTAGACTTTTCCACATCAAGAACATGAAATCTTTGTGATAATAGAAAATATGAATGATTTGAATCAACATTTTATGCCTTTTGAAATATCTTTCACAAAATATTTTCATAGATGCTAATGGCCCTCCATAACTTTTAAGTCCAATTTAGAGATAAGTTCAACTTACGATCCTTGTCAGTGAAACACCCCCCTGGTTTTTTTCCTGTGGGTTTCGCTGAGTGTGTATTTCATCCCTGATGTAGAGTCAGGGTTGGGTGAAATGTGTAGTCAAAGCTGAAGTAGGAGTCCTCTTTAGTGTAGAAAATTAACTACTGAGCAATCGTCACCGGAGTATTTGTCATATGACCCAGATGAGTTCATCAGTATTTAAAGGAAGGGTTAAAAACAAGTTTATAAGACAATCAGCTAATGTTGTTTATTGATTTATGTGGAGAAAATTGCGTCTTGTTTGATTTCAATATTGATTTCAATAGATTTTAATAAATGTAATTTCCAAACAAAATCATTTTATCTTGTTTTGAAATCAGGCAGTCATCTCGAGGACAGCCCAGGTCTTCATGCAGGAAGTAGATGTCAAAGGTCAAGGGTCGATCAGCGAGGATGACTTTGTCCGTTGGGTGAAGAAGATGCCATCCAACGTGGTGGAACAGATTATGACCTTTGAACCCATCAGTTCAGGGTCACCTACATCCAAGGTAAGGAGAGGAGTGACATGAGCATTAGAATTTAATGTACATCTATATGTATGTTGAATTATAGTTAAAATTGTTGTAATTCCTTCATGGCATCCAAAAGGTTTGATTTCTAATAAAAATGAAAAATACAAGCAGATGCATAACAGGGGAAGAAATAATTTATACAAGGGAAATGTAGAGCTTGATGTATAAAGAAATGAATAACTTTCAGTGCTCATTTTCACTGTTAGTTTGGCTGAAAGTATATAGAATTTCTAACCTGAATGAAAGAGTGCAAACTTTTGTAACACATATTGAACTATGTAAACCTTTCTAAACACTTTGAATACGAATGAGGGGAAACTTAGAATTCAGGAGCAAGAATTTCATATAGTAGGGTTTTTATTATATTGTTGCATGTGCATTACTACGTTAAGCCAGTCTTTAAGAGCTTACAAAGCTATGCAATGTAATTAATATATCATTTTTATGTTGTATGCATATTACTTAATACAGAACCCAAGGACGTCTTCTGCTGACGATCGACCCTCTATCCCTCTCCTCCAGCGAGTCGCCGGCAATGCTAAGAACCGGGACTGGCTGCTCCTGGTGAACATCCTTGGGTTCACAGAGGAAGAGATTAAAGAGGTTGGGGATCACCTTGGTAACAAGAAGCATGATGAGGTATGTCCAGTGAGAGTGAGAATTGGGGCTGGGCCTGGGGGGTCACTCACAACATGACTGACTATGCAGAAAAAGGGTTGAAAGGGTGTCTTATTCAGCAATAAGGGCGTCGTCAACGTTTACCTTAAAAAGGGGCGTGTTTCAACCCCTGATCGCACAAAAACCCATAAACGGGCACCTTTTCCGTCACTTTTTTGTCACTGTCACAGCTATCGATCAGCAGGGGGGTTTCATAAAGCTGTTCGTAAATTTACGCATGACTTTACGATTGACTTGAATATGAAGTGCCAGATAAGATGCCCAAAGTTTTTCCTGATGTTTTCACAAAGTGCGACTATATTTCCAATAACCTGAATTAAATTATGGCAAAAATCTGCATAGTTCAACTTAAGTTGATGCAGTTAAAAAATGATTAAGCATCCCATTTGGCTTTGCATATGTAATTCGCTCGTAAAGTCATGCGTAACTTTACGAACGGCTTTATGAAACACCCCCAGGTATGCGATAATCACATTCATTATATTCATCATCATGATTATCTTGATTCTTATTTATCATCCCGCTCTTCAACACTAGCATTCTTAGTCCTCTTTCAATCAAGGATTCAGTAATTTATTTTAAGAATTTGAATACTGGTACAGGTACCACTGCTAATTATCATCTGTGTTTATTTCCTCTTTCCACACAGCACCTGTACGAGCTCCTGAAAATATGGCGCAACAAGACTGATGCGGTTGTTACCACAGAAACCCTGAAGGATGCCCTAGTATCCAGTGGTATGGAAGATGTAGCTATGCTGCTCCAGTCCTGAAAAAAAGGACCAACAATGTTTGTGATGTGAAACGTTCACAATTTTAAATTACATTAAAAAGAAACCTTTGCAAATACTCCTTTTTTTTTAGTCAGTTGTGATTAAATCATTTTCGGGCATGAAAAATTTTGCAAATCTGAACCGCTCGTAAAATTGGTGAACATTTCACATTTTGAAATTTTGACTGTACATTTGCAGATATTTATGCTGTACCGGTAAAATAGTATTATAGCATTCCATATAGTGTGTAATGTCTCTTGGGCTATTAGAACAAATTTGTTCGAATTCATTGTTTTTATTTGTTTGTGCAATATTTTTTTAATGTATTCATATTTTAAAACTCAACCACCAACTCCATTGTGTACTGAAGAATAACAAGTTAATATTCTAAATATTCATGTCGTACTAGTAACTGTACAAAACAAATGGGGTAGGAAGGAGAATGAAATCCCCCTCCCTTCTCTGTGTTTGTTCATGTTTGCCGTTTAACACATGTATAGAGGTGTATCGCTTTTACAAACAAGTTCTTTGGGGTACTTTCAAGAGTGAGAGATAATTCCACAATTGCCAATGAGCATTTGGCATTTTAATTCTGATAGAAAATACATAACAATCATCTCCATTGTATAGAGATTACAACAAACCTGAGAGGTTTGAAATCAATTATCACAGGACTTGCAACTATCTATGTACATGCAGTGATCAACATATAATGTAATGGTCATATGAAATAATGTAAGTTATGTTAAAGGGAAATGCACCCTGATGTAAGTTCAATAAAATCAGAAAAAATGAAAGTGGTGCTCCAGAGGTTCATCTCAGAATGGCCAATTTGAATGATAAAACTGCTAATAATATCAACCATTCCAACTGAATATTGTGTATTTAATATTGCTATTTCTTGGGCTACAGTATTAGTTATATTATGGAACCTCATTGTGAAGGACAATGTTTCTACATATGCTTCTTATAACAATGTGATATTAGAGGTCAAATTTCTCTATATTTTATTATTTGTTAGCCCTGATAAAACAAAGTTTCAGCATAATGTAATTTTCCTATTATATTGAGGTTCCTATTTTTGCTACATCTTTTATAAGTTAGAACAATGCAGTTGTGTATGTTCATATATTCATATTTAAACCGTCCATTTAGTTGTGTGTTTGAGGGTGAAGTAGGATCATTGTGCTATATAGTGCTCCCCCCCCCCAAAAAAAAAAGAAAGAAAAGAATGTAAACAAAAAAAAAGACTGTTATTGTGAGCAAACTATGAGGTGTATAAACACGGATTTCAAATTATATTTTGGTTGCATTAATCCATCCACGTCAGAATCCATTTATGCCAGATTTTGGTAAAACAGTGAAAACAGTGGTAAAAGGTAAGCTTTACAAGATGATTATTCATTTCCATTTTGTGATGATGTGCATTAAGATTTAGCAGTTACAAATGAGTCATTATCCATTACTAGGATAACAAAGGCGATCGTCATGGTAAGTCTCCCTTGGGTTCTGTATTATTCAATCAACATAAAAAATTATATATTGGACTTTCCCAAATCAATAAAATAACCCTGTTGAAATGAAAAGTTCCCCTTCACAGATTGAAAATGGTGCCATCCAGAGGCAGAGAGGGAAATTACCTATGCTAACCTTATATGAGCGAGTTGAACCATTAAATTCCCTATTAATATGTAACATGCTACTTTTTATTTTATTCCTGTGGAAATACGGCTGCAGACTGTCTGATTTTGTCGTTTATGAAGTTGCAGTTCTGAAAAATGCAAAAACCAATACCGGTATTCAACAATTGCAGACAAATTCAAATACAAAATGTGCACCTTTTACCCTCAGCATCGACAATTTCTCCACTGTTCTTCATTTTAAGATGATGGCATCTTGCTATCATTAAAGAAGCAGATGAATACAGTGTTCTCATTGAGTTTTAGAGTTTGTGTTTTCTTCAGGTCATGTTAGTGTGGGATACTAACGTTTTCACTGTTTTACCCAAATCTAGCACAAATGGATTTTTACATGCCATTTGAAATCAATGTTGTAAAGCACGTATGGATCAAGTACTCAATGTATTATTTGAAAGCATCTTGCTTCTACTTCATAAAAATGAAAGAATCAATTTCTACAGCTCATAGTTTGTTCACAAAATCCATTTGTTTTCAGGGTTTTTTTTCTTCTTGGATGTACTGTATTGGTCTTGGCTGATGTATATTCCAATTGTTAATGTTTAAATGACTATTTTGAAAGTTTACTTTACTGTTACAGGGTGTAGGAACATGACTTTTCCTTCCAGCAATGAATTATATTGTAAATGTTATATCAAACAACCAATTGTTCAACATGTTCTACGCAATGTATAAGTATTGCATGTGTTTATGAATTAAATTTCTGCTGAAAGAAAGATGTTGTATAAGTGCAGTTTATGTGGTATCATGAACAGAGCCAACACCTTATGAAAACCTTCTGTGCCTAACCTGTTGAGTACGACTTGATTGTGCTATACCATACTTTTCCTATAAACTCCACCCCAAGTATACTCAGGTACCATCCTTACCCGGTTAAAGGGTACCATCCTCCAGTTAATACAGCTAGAACACACACACACACCACACAAATCAATTGCCCGTCTATCAAGAAAAACCTTTGTACCAATAATTTACTTGACCGTTAGCAGCCGTTTTGTGAGAGAATTTCTATGATATACATGATATCTTTAACATTTCACAAAATAATTAATTTGATATAAACACATGTCAAATCAAATCCTTGTAATGATTTCATTTGTATGAAGGTGGAAAATATGAGAAACAGAATGGCAGGCAAAATTTAAAAATAATTGGACCAATTGTCTTCACCAATCCTCATGACGGAGCATCGGGGGTCATGGATTCATACACCAATCCTCTCCACTCTCTCTCCCTCTCAGAAAGTTATGTTGAAATATGAAATAACTAAATTTATGTAAATCTCAAATTGGCAATTTCATTAATTCTTTGAATGGGATTTGTAACATATTCACGGACGATTCTCTTTCAAAAATTCATAACTTTCTAATTTTTGTCTGATTTTGTTCCAACTTTCACCAATCTGCTTCTCTGATTGTGTTGCTTTATTCTAGAGTAGTTTAGTACTAAATGGAATTTACTCTTTCTACAGACCAGGGGGTGTTTCACAAAGATCCTAAGTTAAACTTATATCTAAGGTGGACTTCACAATTATGGAAAGCCGTTGGCACCTTTGAAAATATTTTGTACAAGTTATTTTAAAAGGCACAAAATGTTGATTCAAATCATTCATATTTTCTATTATCACAGGAGATTTTATGTTCTTGATGTGGAATTTATGAAAAGTCTAAAAATACTTGAATTTTTTTCTTTTAAGTATATTTTATTTTAAGGCTACAAATGGCTCTTCATAATTTCTTCATAATTTCTAAGTCTAACTTAGAGTTAAGTCCAACTTAGAATCTTTGTGAAACACCCCCAGTTCTTTTAGTTGGGAGGATGGGGCATGCTAGACAATGACAGAGCAAAAACAAAAATGTTATACTAATCATATCAATCATATAAAATGATGAATTTATTGCCATGAGGTGTCAAATTATATACATCACACATAATACAGCTGTACATGATAATTCTCACAGCAGGAATGGCATTTTACTGTAAATCTCTTTTTTTTTTTCCATTTTCAAAGTAATGATTAAAATTCAGATAAAATTGATAAGAGCAGCAAGTATTACATTACAGGCTTATTAACAATGAATTTGAGTTCTGGTCATGTGATTAAAGGGCCCATGACATCGAAATACAAGTGTATTCTTGTTGGTGTGCAGTCCTGCATTGGCTGCATACATCTCATATTTTGATATGTAAACTTCTGAAAAACCTCCAGATCTCATTTCCCTTGTGACATCATCTGTCAGTCATCAATGAGCTAACTTGAGAAAGTGGCATGTAACTTTGCCAAAGTTGACCACCTGTTACAATACCACAAACATTAGCAACAAATAAGTTGATATGTCAGACATGTCAGACTAAACTAATATTCTAGAATAGACATGGTATGTAATTTCCCCCAGCTTAGCACACGTTCATAATAGAATTGAATGCTTCCATACATATGTACAATACATCATCATTGCCTTTGTCTTCCTGGTGATGCTACAGAATGCCTGACATAGCAACTTGTATGTTGCTATTGTATTACATTTTGGTCTAAATGCATGAGCAGAATAGGCATATAATACACAAATCAAATTGCACAAATCATTTTTTTTTCTTCTTTTTAAGTCAAATCAATGATATTTAGATCCAACTATGCAGAACATGTGTTAAATGAATTTACACTCCCTAAGTTGAATTTTGCACGAGTGGAACTATGCTTTGCAGTCCAAACAGATTCAACTTCATTACATATTTAACTGTACAAAATAAAGTGGGAATTACAACAATGATTTCAAATACCTTTCCAAGAGGGGAATGACAAGGGAACAATTTATCATTGTTGCTATCATTCAGGTAGGACCAACACATTACACAATCATCATGATCAGACATTTGTTCTTCCCTTTATTTTGTTGAAGATGCAAAGTTTGGGCATGGGAAGGCTGCATGTCTAGGCACAGGATGGCAGATGAGGAATGGTCAATAAATCAAATCCATTTCACACATCAAACAACCAAAGGATTTTTTTATATTTCATCAATTCCATACTAGACACAACATGAAGAGATTAGACAAAATGAAAATGACATGCAGGTAAAATGAAAACTATCAGCTCTCTTTTTTGCTTTCTTCTGTCACTGCACCTTTACTCTTCCTGCTTTTCTTCTCCTTTTTCACGGGCATGGAAGGGGCTTTTTCCTCTTCCCTGTTTTTCGCTGGGATGGAGGGCGCTTTTTCCTCTTCCCCATTTCCTCCTGCAAACCACCTCTCAAACATCATCTGAGCCGTCAGAAGCACAGCGGCTGCAACTAATCTGATGTATTTTTGAAGAGGATCTCCTAGTGCTTGGTAAGAATGGATCATGAAGAGTTCAGCCGCAATGAGCATCACAAAACCGATGAGCCGCGCTGTTCGACCAGTCATGCTGAGCAGTCCAAATCCACCAACAATCTCCAGGCTTCCTACGGCAGAGCGATACTGGCTAGCTTTGAATTTCATGTTGAGGTTGGTCCGAAGTGGGGCAACTCTAGCATAGTTCACAAAGTGCTTTTTCTGAAGAAAAAAATATGAAAAATAAGCAGATTTAGCTTGTTTCTGCAATCAATAGAAAAAAATGATTGTCTGTTTCCATGTGTATTGCCTCATAATTCGCTGACACCAAAGTTGGTTGAATTAACAGTCAGGGCACACAGTAAAACAAGCTAAATTTGGCTAATACAAATAAAATTGGTCATTCAGAATTTTATTCTAGGGTAGCGCGCCCAGTATTCGGTCAATTCCCAGTATTCGGTCAGACAGCCATTTCAACAGCTGTAACAATTTAAAAAATAATTTAAGAGCCACGAAACTTGCACAAATCAGGCAGCTGAACAACTTTTCTTAACTCTCAAAATAAAGTCAGATTTAGGGCCCCGGAAAGATCTCCAACTTAGCTCGAAATTGGTCAGTGTCGCAAGACTTTTTGCACTTCTGCGTTCTCTTAGCACATGCGCTAACATGCATAGCCATATGTAGAAGTCTATTGCGAAACAACTGCGTGTGCTGTCGCAATGAATTTAGTATGTGTGTGAAGAGAATCACTTCCGTGTTCACTCCATCGCAGTGAATTTGCAAATGACGCATTTACCGATGTGCGAGAGGTATTTATACGATACCCTTGCCATGCGGTATCGCTCGGCCAGTATTCGGTCAACGCATTGACATTCAGTGCTTTATCGCGCAATTGTGTGAAAAAAGTGCGCAAATACGCTTCGCTCTTTGGCAACGGAGATACCACGCACAAATCGCGTGACCGAATTCTAATCGGCGCGACCGAATTCTGGGCAGAAAAATGCTCTGTCTTCTTTCGGAAGTATTTTGATTATCATTATTCTATATTTTAAGTGACTATAAAATCCTGTTAGAGGAATAAATTTCTTTTCTTTTGATGGGTAGATTGCCAAATAAAAGAGGTAAGAATTCAAAATATTAGTGATTTCCCCTTAAGTGACCGAATACTGGGCACTCTACCCTAATTGAAATCAGAACAGTTAGCAAGTATGCCAATGGAAAGAGGAATCTAAAATTACCCAGAAACCTAATTTTTCTATGGAATTGGGTGTACAATTATGAAAATTATTGACAAAAGGTCAGCCACGGTTTTGCCGCGTCCTCAACTATGCCAACTTTTCGTTTTTTTAGTTACATTCATTTTAGCTTTTCATGACAATGTTTCAATGACAAAAAAAAGACAAAGTCAAACTTTCAGTGAGGATTCATTCAGAAATCGGGGAGGTTTCTATCAATTGCATACAGCATAATAGGAATGATCTTTCAAAATATCAGGGAGGCATTCAAATTTTTGTGGAGTGACGTATAAAAAAACAGAAAAATTCAGGAGGGTTGGCATCTCTGCATCTGCGTCCTATCCGGCTGAGCTGAACGAGACTTGCATTCCGTCTTATGACACACATTTCAACACATGGGACATGCACAAACTTAAAACACCTATAATCATTACCATCGATAAATGGAGGTCTTGATCCAACATTGGATATAGCTTGCAAACACCTGCATACAAGAAGAACACGCCAAGAACGCCAGATAACAAAATTATCAATTTAGACGCCATTTCTCTTAAGGTTTCTCCACCAGGTGAGACGAAGTTTTTACGATTTAAGCAATGAGAAATCTAGTCTAAATTCTAGTTTCTGCATTACCAGTCTAAAACCAATGCACTTATTACTTTTCTAAAATTAAATGTTTAATTTTTTATTCAAGGGAAAATATATACATACTGGTACTATTTTAAAAAAATATATATTTACATTTTAATATAATTATACAAAAACTGTGTTATTAATCAAAATCAATTTAATTCAGATATAGATGCTAGATCACTATTTATTATTATAATAATCAAATTGGATAAATCTCGACTAAAAAACGTTTAATCGTAATGCCTTGAAATTTGTACTCCAGCGCAATGGCTTTATTTCGATCAGCTAGGTTGGAAATCAATTCTCTCTCGATCACTCAGCTCACACATACTGTCTCCCTCCTATTATAGGACAATTTTATAGAACAAGGCGAAGCCTTGAATTAGGTCCAAGGGAACCAATGTCTTTGCGGATGGGGTCCAGGGGGGTACGTGTTTCACAAAGATCCTAAGTAAAACTTAACTCTTAGTTGGACTTAAAAATTATGGACAGCCATTGGAGTCTTAAAATGGAATATATTCAAAAGCAGAAATTCAAGTATTTTCGACTTTTTATAAATTCCACATCCAGAACATGAAATCTCCTTGATGATAGAAAATATGAATGATTTGAATAAACAATTAATGCCTTTCAAAATAACTTTTACAAAATATTTTCAAAGATGCTAATGGCTTTCCATAACTTTTAGGTCCAACTTAGAGATAAGTTCAACTTAGGATCTTTGTGAAACACTCCCCAGATCTAGACCCGTGCCTTACAGGATTCCCTGTCGGGGGGGGGGGGGGGGGGGGGGGGGGGGTCCAGGGGGCGAGGAGACCCTGGACGCTCCTGATCGAGGTATTTTTAACATTTTAGAACTTTCTAGATGGCTGTCACGAGCGATTGGAAATTAATTTTTTTTCTTTGAATTCACACGTCCCCTATATCATTTCATTTCGTTGGGAATAGGCCGGGAAATAGGCTATTCACCGAGCTGTTTTTTTCTTCCTATATACCAAGGGTGTCGATTTGTATCCGCGGTTGGGGGGGATGATAGGTGCCAAAATATTTTCGGCAATGGATCAAAGCAACCAAGAGGTAGAAGCGTGTGGCAGGTTGCACCCCCTCCCCAAGCGCGTAGCCAGGATTTCATTTTAGGGGGGCGGTAGTGAGCACGCGAAGCAAGCTCCCTAGGGGGTAGGGTGCAGGGAGGCGCAGTTTTCCCCTCCCCCGCGAAGCGCGGAAGCTTTGACGTTTCATTAAATTATTAGAGAAAGAAGACGATTCGTTGGACCATTCTCTACTCTTAATCCTTGTTTGAATTCAGTCCCCCCCCCCCTCTCGCGCGAAGGGCGGAAGCTCTGCGGTTTCCTTAGATTATTAAAGAAAGAGGACGATTCGATGCACCATTATCGACTCTTAATCCTTGTCTGAATTTAGTTTCCCCCCCCCCCTTTCGCGCAAAGCGCGGAAGCTTTGACGGTTCATTAAATTATTAGAGAAAGAAGACGGTTCGTTGGACCGTTGTTCACTCTTAATCCTTGTTTGAATCAAGTAATTCCCCCTTTTCCGCGCGTAGCGCGGAAGCTCTGACGTTTCATTAGATTATTGAAGAAAGAAGACGATTCGATGTACCATTCTCGACTCTTAATCCTTGTTTGAATTAAGTTCCCCTTCCTCCGCGCGTAGCACGGAAGCTCTGACGTTTCCTTAGATTATTAAAGAAAGAGGACTATTCGATGCACCATTATTGACTCTCAATCCCTGTCTGAATTTAGTTCCCCCTTTTCCGCGCGTAGCGCGGAAGCTCTGACGTTTCATTAGATTATTGAAGAAAGAAGACGATTCGATGTACCATTCTCGACTCTTAATCCTTGTTTGAATTAAGTTCCCCTTCCTCCGCGCGTAGCACGGAAGCTCTGATGTTTTCATTAAATTATTAAAGAAAGAAGACGATTCGATGTACCATTCTCTACTCTTAATCCCTGTTTGAATTCAGTTCCCCCCCCCCCTCTCGCGCGAAGCGCGGAAGCTCTGACGTTTCCTTAGATTATTAAAGAAAGAGGACTATTCGATGCACCATTATTGACTCTCAATCCTTGTCTGAATTTAATTCCCCCTCTTCCGCACGAAGCGCGGAAGCTTTGACGTTTCATTAAATCATTAGAGAAAGAAGACGATTCGATGTACCATTCTCGACTCTTAATCCTTGTTTGAATCAAGTTCCCCTTCCTCCGCGCGTAGCGCGGAAGCTCTGACGTTTCGTTGGATTAATAAAGAAAGAAGACGATTTGATTTATCATTCTCGACTCTAAATCCTTATCTGAATACAGTTTCCCCGCTCCCGCGCGAAGCGCGGAAGCTTCGACGTTTCCTTAAATTATTAGAGAAAGAAAACGATTCGTTGTACCATTCACGACTCTTAATCCTTGTCTGAAATCAGTCCCCCCCCCCCCCCCCCCCCCCCCTACCGCGTGAAGGGCGGTAAGCTTTGACGTTTCATTAAATTATTAGAGAAAGAAGACGATTCGTTGTACCGTTCTCTAAATCCTTGTATGAATTCAGTTTCCCCGCTCCCGCGCAAACTCCTTGTCTCCGATCTCATTACGAATTCGTCACAGAGTTCATCTATGTTTACACTGTCCAGGACTGTCTGATGTGCATTGCAGATTGCTACTTTTTAACGCTGCGTCTTTGCATTTGGCGCACTGCATTTCTACGATGCTGTTGATTGAACAAATTGAATAAATTCATTAATTCCTGATGAAGCCGTATGAGCGAGAATTCAATTTATTCTTGTCTCATTTACGCTTGTCTCATTTACTTCGTATATTATGTATGTATTATGAAAATGAGATAGCAAAATGTGTATACGGCGATGGTCATCTTGCGAGTAATAACCATTAACTACTCTTATCGGGCTCTCATCATTAATTTTCCCTTCATTTTTGTTGTTTTGATGGTGAATTATTGGGGGGGATGATTGTACAGGCCATCCCCCCCACCTGAAATATTGGGGGGGATATATCCCCCCATCCCCCCCGGGATCGACACCCATGCTATATACCGTCCTACTTTCGTCCAAAGTCTTCGTAGGCACAAGTTGTGCCGCCTCATCTGTACAACGATAATAATAATTATGTGTGCATTTCCGTTTCATCTTTTATTTCAGGTTTGTGTGGGTTTTTTTTATTTTTTTATTTCTTCTTCTCTTAATCTTATTCTTTCTTTCTCTCTCTCTCTCTCTCTCTCTCTCTCTCTCTCTTCTCTCTCTCTCTCTCTCTCTCTCTCTCTCTCTCTCTCGTCTCTTTCTCATACCTTTAGCATTATTTGCTTTGTTCATGAATCCATTTATGTAATCCAAACTTCTCATCTATAAATTAACTGTATACTAATCTGACAAACAAGTTTTTCAAGAAAAGTCTAAATAAATATTTGCACATTATGTTTTTATTGTAATTTGACAGCATTAGTCTTTTGAAATTTGATACGTGTTATATTGTCGATAAAACCAAAATTGCATTGATAAGAAATGAATTGTTAAATGAAGTAAAGTTATTAATAATAATTATAAGGCTCTTCAACGAAATCACCTGCATATCTCTTATAATACTCATTATCTTGCCGTGCTTTTTCACTGTGACACCTGTGTGGTGTTTATATCAGCACGATTTAATAGTAATAATAATAATATTTAATATATATTAGCGCTTAAAGATAAACTTGAGTTCTGGTAAAAAAAGAAAATGAATTCTCACAGAATCTAGCGAAACTTACACTGAATGTTCAAAATTACAAATAAATGTCATGTGCCAAACATTTTTGGAAGAAAATGTATACTGGCTGAGTAATGAAAGATAATAGAAAGATAAGGAAATCAGGGTAGAACTAGCCCCGACACCATGTGTGTTGTCCCATATACATCTTTCTGTGTAAGTGATTGTTACTTTACCAAGACTCTGCCAAATTTATGATGATTTTGATGACTCCAGAACCTTGCATTAAACACCATTACTTACATGCTATATGATCAACTTTTCTGATCCATTCCACACCTTTTCTTTCACAATGCAATCGCATTACCAGAACTCAGTCTCTAAGCGCTTTACAAATATACTATTACCCCGGTCATTGGATTCAGTGCTTGCCCGCACACAATGTGTGCACAATCTCCATTCCCTGGGGAGCATTCCAGCCAGGCGTTACTTGACGCTCAAAAACTGTTTGACCAACAATGACGGCCACATTTTGGGTTACTTATTTAACATTTTATTATACTAATACATGTACCAGCGATACAATGTAATATACTTCTTTATTTGTATTAAGATTTTCAAATATGAACATTAATCAATTTTATCTTCAAATGTATGAAGGTCTCTGTTAAGAGGTCTGTACTCAGGTTGGTAACTGTTATGAGGGAAAACGTAATATTCAAACATCATTAACGTGACTGATGATAACAAAATATTAAATGTCTATAGGAGGAAAACTAGCTTTAAACTATTGAAAGAGTTTTTCCTCTTTTATATGTATTTACATCCATGTTAATTGGTGGGATGATATATTTCATTAAAAACAATCACAACAGATACAATAATGACAGGAGGCATAATGGTCAGGGGTGGCGATTTCTTTTCATGACCGGGGGGGGGGGGACGATATGCGAGGAACGAGGGAGGAGTGACGTAATGAGCCGAAACGTTTTTTTGGGGGGAGGGGAGAAAAAAAATCCGCATCATCATCGCTCTTACATGTTACATGCAGGCCCCGCGGAACCGTTTTTCAAAGTTGGAGGGGGGGGGGGGGGGTAAAGTATTTGCGATCAGATAGAGCAAAGCAATGAAGTTGGGTGTAACTTTGGCGTGGGGTCCAGGGGCAAAGCCCCGGCGGGGTCAAGGGGCGGAGCCCCATGAAGCTCAGAGCTTTTAGGCATTTAATAAGGGTCAGATGAGCATATTTTGATACCTTATTTGTGACACTTGCATGCAGGTCACTAATCGTACTGGGGTCCAGGGGGCGAAGCCCCCAGAAGCTCAGCGGTTTTAGGCATTTAATTACGATCAGATGAGCATCCAGGGGCTGCCTTATAGGGCCCTTGGTGGGGTTTAGGGGGCGGAGCCCCCGTAAGCTCAGGGTTTTAGGCTTTTGAATATGTTCAGATGACCATCCAGAGGCCCGCTTAGGGCCCTGGTGGGGTCCAGGGGGCTGAGCCCCCGGAAGCTCAGGTGTTTTAGGAATTTAAATATGTTCAGCTGAGTAACCAGGGACAAGCCTTAGGGCCCTTAGTGGGGTACAGGGGGCAGAGCCCCCGGAAGCTTGGGGAAAATCATTAAAATCAGTAACACTTGTAAATTAGTAACTGGTATCGAATTAGAATTAAACCACGTTTGAATTTTATCGGGGGGGGGGGGGGGAGGGACTGCCCAAAGCACGAGTGAGTGAGCATAGTGAACGAGAGGGGTCAAGGTAAATTATATTCCTTAGCAAAACCATAGTATGAAAACAAACACAATTCCTGTTTCACACTTCATTTTTCTACAATATTAATTGTACATTTTGAAGGATATTATGCGAGGGACTATAGCTCCCGAGCCAGAAGATTTTTGCATTTTTATTTGTCTAAATGCTGCACTCTTGGGCCCTCCAAAGCTTAATAGTGTGTTGCAGTCTTTAGTCAGTATTTGCTGTACATTATTTTTGTGTACTTTTTCAAATTTCCCCCCCGTCCCCCTCCCCCCGGGATCGCCGCCCCTGATAATGGTTATAGGCAAAGAAGTGTTTCCACATTATTCGTGATTCATATTGAAATACTTTCGTATACATTATACATATACACATACATATAAATTATATAATATCTGCACGATGCTATTCTAGACTCACAAGACTAGATCATGGTCATTTCCATTTACTGAATACAACCACACGAAGGAATAGTACAAAGCCGAAAAAAGTGTGATTGCTTTTATATTTAGGCCAACGGTCAGATTTTGACAAAGAAATTAATGTTTTGTCTAATTTCTTTCACATCACGATGAACAGAACAATAATTCTTAGGTTTCTTTTCCTGAACACAAGCAAAATATAATGTGGTATAATTCACGAATACACATATTGTAGTATACAAATATCTACTCGAATGGTGTGTAATTACATTGTGTAAATATCATGTGGTCCAAAAACTTTACGTAACACATTCTATTTAGATAGTAGTATAGTTTTATTAGATAGCCTTAATTGACTACACTTTGTTATAGAAAATCAAGGATAATTGCGATCTCACGCCTTGATTTATTTTCTCGAGCCATCTAGTTAAGTGTCAAATGTGTGCGTCTAAAACTTTCCAAACAAACGTTGGGTACACGATAGTATGACGCAATAATTTACACATTTTACCGGGAGATCAATACAACTTCGAAAGCATGACCTGGAGTGACATATGGAAATTACTTTTTTTTTAAATGAAATGCTTTATTTCTACAAACAGAAGTAGTAATCAAAACAAAGTAAATACATATTTTATCGTTCCAAAGCTAAATCAGTCACAAGTGATGACTAAGGTCATACATTTTCTTTTTCATCCCAATAAATCATTAATAATATTCAAAATATACATGTTTAGTTTTTTTTTAAACATTTTTAAAAACCAAAAATGCTTTGCACATAAACTATAGATACTCTTTAGATAAAATATAGTAATACCCCTAAAGATTGAGAATTACAACCACCAGAAAAATATGTAGTACAGTGTATAATAATTAGTAGTAAATCTTAGTTTCTGTAAACAAAATTGTTACATTCTTTCGCCCTTGACGTTATTACATTGGATTGTTGGAGAGATAATGAATTCATTTAAACAGACCGTAACCATTAGCAAAAGATATTTCATTCCTCAGCACAGTATGTTCGGCAAATCTGTGAATTTTAGGGTTCAATGTAATATTTAAACACTGAGCATAAACACATGTTGTTAAACTATTCGCTTTCACATTATATTGTGAGGGATAAGGTGAAGCATACCGGACATGACAGGTTGTGCGTAATGGACATCACGGATACTAAAGCCTCGGTCACAAATGACATTTCGAACTGCTACGAACGTCGTACGAACGATTTTCAGAGAATGGAAATTCGGGAATTAAGACAATGGAAAAAGAAGGAGATTCGTACGAAATTATCGTTCGTACGAACCTTTGTGACCGTAGCATTAATCACGTGTCTCACGAAATATGAAGAGCTTTCCTGGTGTACAGAAGGCAATCTCTCCTGTCTTAAACTCTTGTAGGTAGTACCAGGGACGGGATGGCTTCGTTATCTTGAAGTCTGTGACGACGTTCTGGATGTGCTTCAGCTCTCTCGTGTATTGCGAGATGCTGACAAGTCCCTGTTCGTAATTCACCCAGGCGATGAGGATCGAGTCATCCTTGCAAACTGCAGGATAGGCATCAACCCCTTCCTTGGTGATACAGTCCATTGTGGCACCAGAAAGGCCATCGAGCACACGTACTGTATGTCCGTCACTCTTCACCACGACCATGTCCCTCGAACCCATCGCAAATATCTGCTGTGGTTCGAAACCTTCACACTGTATCTCCCTGACTGGCTTCCCACCTGATGGCTCGAAGACTTGGATGGTCTTTGTTGTCCTATAGCTTGAAAGGATATTGCCATCTTTGTCTACAGTGAGGTCACCAAGCCCGCCCTCTTCGTCGCTCAGCGTCTCGAACTTTACCCTGAGCTTCTTACAACAATGCGGTGTGTAGAGGCAAATGTTGTTGCCATAGTCACGTATGACGTATCCACCATCGGTTGTGAATTGCAAGGCACACATCTCTAAGGTGTTTAGAACTACCTCCTGAAGTATGCCATCGCTCGAGAATGTCACTATTCCTCCAGTCCAGCAGCCAATATCAACTGTATTGCCAGGTGATACTGCCATCCCACGCATGCTGTTCTTGATAGGAAGCTGACTTTCCATGTGTAGAATCCACATGGAATCACCTTGTAATTGACCCATCTCCAGTCCCTCCGTTCTCTGGCTCGGAGTAAAACGAAGCTGTTCACCTTCCTCAGCAGTTCTTCTCGGATTCTGGTCGTTCTGGTCAACTCGGCTCAAGAGCTGTTCCATTTCTTGACAAAGCGTTTTGTGAGTTCTCAAAGCTTCTTTTTGTAGAGGAATCTTCAGACCGTTTTCGACTAACCCACATACTGCATTTATTCGGGTGATCTGCTGACAGCCTTTCTGTTCCATGTTCTCTAACAACTTGTCGAATTTCTTTATCCGTTGCCCGACATCACTCTTCAATACCCCTTTTCTCTCGGTCAGTTTTCTGACAGTTTCCTCATACGCTACGTCAATGTCACGAGAAAGATCTTCCTGTACTTTTTGCAACCGTCCACGTTGTTCGGCAACATATGCGACATATTTGTCGAAGTCGCATATCTTTGATTTTGCTTTAGATGCCAGATCATCGATATTCTTCTTCTGCTCAGTTTCATAGACGGCTGCTTCCAAAACCTTGTGCCCACCCTGTGTATGCTCTAGCACGCTACACCTGAAGCAGATGTACTCATTACAGTCGAGACAGAAACATTCTTCATCCTCGCTCGGATGTTTCTGACATTGGCCTTTTCTCCTCAAAGTTACCTTTCCCGTGCAGACATCACTGGCAGCTACGATGGAATGACCTGAAAACTTCGCCCACTTTGAGTGCATTTTCTTGCAGGATTCGCAAAGGTAGTCACCGCAATCTTTACAATAGACCACTGCAAGAGCTTTGTCCTCTGAATCGCAATTGGAACACACCTGTACCTGAGTCTGGACATCCTCAACCAGCGCCCTCACCGTTAGGTTTGTTTGTAATCTACTCACTTCTCCATCGGTAACCACGGTTTCCTTTCGGCATACTGGACAGGATAGCTTTTGTTCGTCCGGTTGGAAGTCGAGGAAGGACTGCAGACAACCCTTGCAGAATGTATGGGAGCAGGTTAAGATCTTGGGTTCCTTGAAAAAGCTCAGGCATACAGGACACTCCAGGTTCTGATCGACAACCTGCTTCAAGTTGGCAGCCATCTTGGAAAAATCAGGCTCCAACCTGGAGGGGAAAAAAAATGATGAAAAACCTTAAGCATAACTCATTCAAATCAATAGTTGTTTGTCATGATAATGATAATAGCTATATTTTATACTGCACACTTATCCTTCCCATGGGATCCTCAAGGCGCCTTCAGGGTACTCGGTACCATGGCTTTAGCCCAGGTGCCCTAAGGTACCCATTTACAACATCTGGCTGGAGAGTGGCAATCTATTGTAGTGTCGTTGTTGTTGTTGTTTTTGTTTTGCATCAACGGCTTATTATACGTGTAACGAAAGATTCCCCCTTAATAAATTTATATACGCTTATCAAATACCTACAAAATCTTGTTTCTTTGTCATTACATGCATAGAAAAAGAAGCGAGAGTCGATATAGGAAATGATATTGTATATTAATCAACTGTATAATACAGCTCAAAGTCAAATTGATTAATAAAAATCTTTCTTTTTGGGGGAAAAACCATGACGCTATAAGATTTAGCTCTTAAATGGCCTATTGACGTATGCAACAATGGGTTATGGCCGCGACCGCTTAATTACGTAAATTGCCGGGATCGTGCCCCTCCCCCTCCCCAACATGTTAAACCCACCCAGATAGTGATACATTGGTCCTTTCGGTAGTTTTTTTTCTTTCTCGACCGGTTGTCATATTAAAAGAGTATTCATTCTAAATAGACCCCGGTGTCCCAAACATAATTATGCTAACGTTAGTTATCATGAATAAAGAGCCATGCACCCCCGCCCCCACCCCCTCCCCACTCACTGTTTATGCTATCTTCATTTCAAACAAGTTTTTGAAACCCTGATTATGTTACTATAATAATGTTGTGGTGGACAAGTCCAATCTTATCGACATGCGAAATACAGATACTAACATTTTTTGTTTGTTTTATTTCCACTCATTCACAGGTGTTACAAATAAATATTTGATAAACATTCAACAAAGATTGATAATTACATACTATAATATTGAAGGATACATAATATATGACTCATATGAAAAATTCAACATCATTATAGTTTAGTGCCGTATTTTAAGATATCACTTCAAATTAACATATTGAACATGGTGAACTTAGAATGATATCGGTCATTCCGAAGCTGCTTCACAATGCTCCATTATGACATGCTGAATCGTAAATCATAAACACAGAAAGTATACATTATGCCATTCATGATAATAATATACACTGAAGTGATGTATAAAAACTAAAATACCTTAGTTAGCTCAAATACTTGCTGTAGAAGTAGAATATACAGTAAAGTTGGATTGCAAAATGATGAGCTGTGATTTTAACGTCAGATCTACACGCCCATTTGTATTTAGAATAGCTATAGTATATAGATCTCTATACTGCAGTTACATGTACCAGCTATATGGCTGGATGTAACAGTACAGGCCGATGTCGAAATGCGGAAATGGATCAGAGCACCGGAAAATTAATCAACCTTACCCTTCACCTTTGAACTTGTTCACAATCCGTGCGGCGTACACGCACACTCAGAAGTCAGAATTTATGGAGAAATATTGTATAGGCCTATACGTACAATGTACCATGCCTTCGTATTTATGTTCCTGATAATCCTTGGATTACTTGATATTAGTATATAGGCTATGCTACTTAATTCCTGCGTGCATATATATGTTTCTCATAATCATTGGATCACTTTATATCCTTCATTATGTTTCTCATAACCATTGGATTACTTGATACATTAGGATAAGTCCACTATGATTATCGTTGTAGAACGAAATCACAAATCTGATTTCCAGGTCTCTATTTCCCATTATAGAACACTCACCGGCCCTTTATAATTCGTCCAATTCTCCCCCCCCCCCCCCCTCGGCCCCTACCCCTCCCCTCCTCTCTCTCTCTCTCTCTCTCTCTCTACTTTTCTTTCTCTCGGTCTTTTTTCTCTATTCCCCATTTGTTTCTAACTTTACATCCCGTCTGTTGAGAGCCAGAAGGGCGTTAACTCTGTAGTAAAATATATATGATTTAATGCCCTTCTGGCTCTGAGCACTCGATTTCTTCTTTCCACTTTCCTCCTTTCGTTTATCATTTTCTATAACTCCTCCTTTCTCCTACCCCTTCCCCTCTCCCTCTAGTCTCTATTTTCTTAATAGCCACACAGGTTCCTCTCTGCGTTTAATACAATTTTATTTCACTCTCCAATCCTATCTGTGCATATGTGAAAAATAATTTGATTTTGTTTATTTTCACCGATCGGCAACAATTTGCCTCGATGAGAATATAAATAAAGCCATGGACTTGAATAAACATGGCATGAATATTTAATTAGTCCCTAGTAATCCACCTACATGTATTCTGATTTCTTCTTGACTCAATCTTCTTCCAAATCGCCTTGTTGTAATCCGATTTAATATGCTTATGACGTCTGAAGTAATATACTTTATCCATTCAGGAGACTGTTGCTATAAGGCGCCCTCTCCTGGCACAATGCCATCGATCCACCGGATACAGAGGAATGCGATCAACGGAGACGGTCGCTTTCTCTAAAAGCTCCTAATTGGCGTGTATTATATAGAATTTTGGCGGGAATTTCGAACCAGCCGCACCCCTCTGAACTCGACGGCAGCTGAGTCAATCCTGTACCGTGTCCAGCCCATCGGACTATACGAGCTTTCGCCGTAGCAATCTCGTTGTTGGATCACATCTTCACGTTTTAACTCGTTCGTCACTGTAGCAAGGCAAAGGTCTAGGAGGTGACCCTAAGTGGCAATCCTGTGGTGATTTATTGCACTCATTTTCATCCCTCCATTCACGTAAGATTAACAACTTAAATAACACAGCCTTGAAAGGTAAGAATTTTCACTTATCCAACTAATCTTAATTATGCGCGTTTGAAAATTGAATGGCGTCGATTTCTCTCTCCTCTTTATCTTCGGGGGAAGAGAATTATATGACGGCCGTTGCTGAGAAATACCGGGACGATGTACATGATTTAGGTGAAGGTATATCTTCTGACGGTACTACGGTCCCGGAAGATAGTGACATTGCAGATTGTTCATGGAAAACGGCAGTACGCAAAAAATCGAAAAAGAGGCCAAGGGTTAGAAGCAATAGTGATGGAGTGTTACATGAAAAGAATAACAAAATACCCAAATTCTCCCGCTCGACACCAACTCATTCTGAGGGTAAAGTAGTTATTGTTGGATTGGAGAATAAGAATGTGTGCAGAGCCAACCCCGTGAAGGTTGTAAAACAAATTCATGATCTTGTAGGCAGAGTAAAAGATATGGTAAAAGAAAGAAACATGTTGATTGTGAGATGTGAGAGCGAAAACCAAATACCCAAACTGTTGGAATTAACCCAGTTGGCGGGCATTAATGTGAAAGTTACACGATACGATGGGAGCCAATCAACCACTAAAGGAGTTATTCACAAGATTGATCCCCAAATCAGTAACGAGGAAATAGAGGAAGTTTTGAAAGAACAGAATGTAGTGAACGCTAAAAGATTTATGAAGAAGATCAAAGGAGAAATGGTAGCAACCCCTTCCGTTCTCCTCACTTTCAAGGGTAAAAACTTACCCGAGTCCATACATTTTCTGTATGGTAAAGCAAGTGGATGACTATATCCCTCCTGTGCCGCGATGCCATAAATGTCAGTTATTCGGACACATTAGGCAAACTTGTAAAGGCAATATCCGATGTGTTAGATGCGGGGGAGAACATGAGTTCGAAGATTGCCCTAATAAGGAGAACCCTAAATGCCTCAGATGTGGTGAAAACCACTCTGCAGCTTACCAAGGTTGTAAATTTTATGCAGAGGCGAAGCAAATTCAAAAAATAAAATTACAGGAAAACCTCACTTATGCCCAAGCGGCCAAGGCCCATCGTGCACAGATACATGAAAATGCCGTTACTGACATGGATAATCAGAAAGACATGGGTAGTGCAAATCTAAACAAACCTGCCAAAAAACATAACACAGAATCAAGGCCAAATAACCCTCAGAGAGCCAATCCGAATCCTCAGAGAGCCAATCCGAAACCTCAGGCCCATACCCCACACACAGTACGAGAAAGAAAGGGACAGGAAGAAAGGGACAGGGCAATACCCAGATCTCATTCCCAGATCCCAATTCCAGTACGAAAAACAAAGAAGGAAACTGCAACCCAAACTCCAGTAAATATGACATCTATTGATTTGATTATGTTTATTCTGTTTGTGGTACGACAGTTGCCTCAGTCCAGTAATGATGATAATTTCTTGGAAGCGGTAGTTAGAGCAGGCAAAGAAATTTTGAAGGTAGACATTACCATGGAAATGGTAAAAAGTCGCCTCATATAACTAATAAGTCCATATCAGACCTATTGATTGTACAATGGAACGCACAAGGCTTGACGGCGCATGGCGCAAACTTTTTATCTTCCCTTATTGATAACAATTTGTTAGGTATTCACCCAGATATAATGTGCATCCAAGAAACTTGGTTTAACGATTTTAATGTTTTGTCTATACCCAATTACGTTTGTGTTGGAAAAACAGGCCGGACGGCAGAAGAGGTGGTTTGGTGATGTATTTAAAAAACGACATCACTTTTCAGGCGATGGATACACCCAGGAACGCCGAATACCAAAAAGTTGATATTTTTTGTAAAAAACGGAGTTATCTCAATCTTCAACTATTATAATCCGTGTAAAAAGATTGAACTGATAGATCTAAATAACATGATAAGAAATGTGCCGGGGAAGTATTTGATTCTAGGCGACTTTAATAGTCACAATCCTCTATGGGGGAGCAACAAATTAGACACAAACGGTAGAACTGTGGAGTCTTTTATAGAAAATAATGATTTGGTTTTATTAAATGATGGATCTCCTACAAGGTTAGACCCATATTATGGTACATACTCAAATCTGGATTTGTCCTTAGTATCGAAAGAATTAGCACGTAATACAGAGTGGAAAGTACTATCCAATAATTTTGGCAGTGATCATAATCTGGTTTGCTTAAATTTTAAACATGTGTACAATAGACCAGGGGGTGAGAATATGGGACAGAGATGGTCTTTTAGAAAGGTTAATTGGGAAGAGTATAGAGAAGAAATTGAAGAGGCATTGAGAAAAGAAGGATATGAAAATCTTGGTGCAGAACTAAACATTCAAGGCAGATACAATGTGATTGTTAAGGTGATCAAGGAAACGTCGAACAAGTGCATTCCGCGTGTGCAGATTGCCAAGAGAAGAAAAGTAAATCCCTGGTGGAACAATGCCTGCAAGAAGGCGGTGCAAGAGAGAAATCGTCTTAAAAACAGGTTAAGAAGGTATTATGATCTAAATGATGTTAAGAAATACTTAAAGAAGAAAGCTGTCGCTCAGAAGGTAATCAGGAGAGCTCAATATGATTATTGGTTAGAGTACTGCCGTAGAATGAATAGATTTACAGACATTGGGAAAGTCTGGGAACAGGTTAAAAGAATGCGGGACAGT